AAATATTATAATGTAATCATACCAGAAATACAGGTATTTAGTTGGTTTGTTTTATTTATTTGTTAATAAAAATTACAATTGAGACAAATTTTTTAGTAACTATTAAACAAATTATTATCATAAAAATGTATTCAATAATACTTTTTAGTATTTTGTTTTTTAGACAATTTTCCAGTTTTATTTATAATTAAGAACTTGTATATGTCTTATTATTTTTTTTAATATATATACATCTGTTTGAGAAAAAAAGATGAAATGATTTCGAATTAAAAAAATCAGAATATAAGTTTTTTAAAAAGGACCTTAAATCGTATATCCTTGCCTTTAAAGTAAAACATTTATGTATTCTCTTTTTATGTGGGCAGTTTTAAGTAAAAATAAAAACATTTTCATTTAATTTGATGTCAACTTATTCTCATTGTAGGTTATTTGTGGACTCGACATTTTTATAATTATATTATTTTCGGAAGTCTCCAAAATCCAATGTATAAAATAGAAATGTTGGATGAAACAATTTTTTTCAAATAAAACAACTTCAGAGGTTATTCTCAAATTTGTAAGCTATATATTTATAAAGTTTAGATAAGTGTTATATAAATTATATTTTATAGATATAATGGTAAATTATCGACTCATTTCAGTTGTGTAATATTATGTATGTGTTTTATTAGAACTATTCATAAATTGGGTTATCTATCTATATATATATATATATATAATATAACACAACTGAAATGAGTCGATAATTTACCATTATATCTATAAAATATAATTTATATAACACTTATCTAAACTTTATTACTCACTCCCTTTAAAATTTAATCAACTACCTAAAAACTAAAACGGGAGGGAGAGTTTTTGTACAAAAGATGTGAGTACAATAATCAAAATACAACAGTAATGATGTGAATAAAAACAAATGTTTAATTTATTATTTATTAAAAATAAGTTAACAATAGTGTTTGTTTTTATACAAACAACCAGAAGCCAGTAAAAAATATGACCTGCTTTAATAATTTTTTTTTTAACCATTGTACTTTGCAAAATTATCCCGACGACCGGCAATTATTAAAACGAACCGTAACCCTTTAAATTTATTCTGCGCCGTTGCTGGTATAAAATAATATATGCGTCAAGCGTGCACAAATATTTTCCCTATTTCGAGTGAACGACCCGGTCTGCTCTTATTTTGTTTATTTTTTAGTGTATAATATATACAAGTCAATCTGGGAACTTAAGCTTGTACACGCCTCGTTGGTCGTCTCGGCAGCCGTCTTAAATTCAATTAATTTTATTCGGCTTATGTGGCAGTACATCTAATATGAGAGGCGAAGCTTGAAATACAGGCTAACCCATAGCTATCCTTGTGGCTGCGCGGAAAATTTTATTTGGTAAAGTAATACACGGTAGGAATTTGTAAAAACCAATAAGTTTTCAGCTTGGCATCGGAAATAAAATCAATAATTAATTTGATTGCAACCATCTAACAGCCTGAAACTCATTTGCATTTGCCCGCCTGATTATAGATTTGTGACTAAAATATAATGATGTTTATCAGTCCAACTATGTATCTTATTACACCACTGGCTAGCCCTATAGTTTGTGATGGGTAAAAATAAATCCATAATCAACCAATAGCTGTTATCGTAAAGTTTGAGTGGGTTAGACATAAAATAAAAATTTAAAAAAAACACTTATTGTTAGTACAAAACTGAACATAATATTATTACTTATCTTGCGATGTACACATATTGCATTTTTTATAAACATGTTTTTTTAATTAACAACAAGGACTGTGATATCGAAAAATGCAATCATGTTTGTGGTTTCAAAACAATAAGATCTTTTCCAACGTATACAATTGTAAAGCGATTAAAAAAAACAATTATTAAAGGACTGCGCAGTGTAAATATATAAATTATTAAAAGCAATAAAATCCAACATGTTTATTTAAAAACTAAAAAAAGTGTAACGGTCGAATTTAGACTAATATAAAACTAAAGCTTTACAATATCAAAACAAACATAATATAGATATTATAAAGGACATCTATGATATTACAACAACAAAATATATGACTTTTTCGACTTCGGAAAGTCTGAAATTGAAAAAATACTTTATTTGTTTTAATAGAAAAAAACAAAATAAATGTTTGTTAGCGATACAAAATGTTTTCGAGCGTTTTAATAAAAAAAAAAAAATAATAAAAACGTACCATATGGGACAAATCCCATTGCTTGGCAGAATATAATATATTCTGTTGCTTTTAACAAAAACAACAACAACAAATGCTTGGGTTTCGTTTTTTATTTGCAAGGAAAAAAATGAAATGGCTTACGAAAAGACTATATATATATTTATACACAGCCCAGTTATGGCAATATCATAACAATTTATCAAATTAAAGAATGTGTTCCGCTTGATTTGATTCATACCTGTATACCTATATAATATGATACAAACGTCTTGTCCAAGGTGACGGATACTCATTTTTCACATTTAGCCGACCATCCAAAACGGAATCAACTACACTAATCCTGACAACTTTAGCAACAATGGTTGTTAACGTCTGCCCGCTACAGTACTCACTTTAAATACTTTAATCACTTTAGACTAGACATTTTACACTGCAAGTTTTCGCTGCTACATTGGTAGGTTGACATAATTTGGTTTAAGACATAATTTATTACCTACATGTGTTAAACGTGTACGGGACAAAGGCAAGTGTTCAATTCGTCAGTTTTAGTATGGCCAATTAATGTATGTATAAATTATAATAGTGTTATTATAATTATTAAAAATACAACTTATTATGATCCGTGTCTTTTCTTGGTGAGTGATAAAACCCACCTCTGATTACATTAAATATTTACAAAACATCTTAAAAATTCTACAAGGGCCCAACATTAGTTACCTCGTGTTCGGGATGCACCTGAGCAATTTGTGTAATGAAAAACTAAACAAATTGCCGATCATTTATTTTTATTAGAAATTCAGTAAAAGTACAAATGTATTTACTAGTTCAATATTTAGTAATTTTATAATATTGTAAAATAACAAAAATTATAAGCTACAAATATTTTTTTTAAATGTATTTGTTTTTCGATAAACTAAAAAAATGTATGTTTAATATATTTTTTAAGTGAGTGAATAAATATTTATTTGGGTTTTATTTAAAACTGTTTTGTTTTATTAAAATAAAACAATATTTGTTGTAGTAATTTTAATTTGTAATTATTATTGAATTCCATTAAAAATTAAAGTGTATTTGAAACTACTATTTGCATCTTGTATTTAAAAAAAAAATTTTTTTTTTAATTACCTTGGATTGGCCTATTATATGGACCGAGAATAACGCGCTATGTGTGTTGTGCAAGTTTTTTTGCTCGAAAATTCATATTGTATTACACCTTATCTTAAGTGAAAGACGCATTACGTTCATCTCGGATGCCACTATCAGTCGTTAGGCGGTTTAAAAGCCCTAAATCATCTTGACGACATATTTTCTCCGTCTCCAGTAAAGGACAAATAGAGTGTATTGCACAAAGACGTCGGTACAATACAACGGATTGGTTGGGGGACGATCGGGGTGGTCGGATACGCAACACCCTCTGCCTTTCGTCGTCGTCGATCATAAGGGCATTTGAAAAAGCGACAAAACGATTGTGCGGGTTTCTTCTTATTTTTTTCCTTCTTAACGACCCCTCTTCTTGGGACCTTCAAAAGCCGTCAAACGTTCACCGACACGTTCGCATGCTATGTCGGTATACGATATTTTTATTTAATCCCGAGTACAATATACACGTACCGGGTGATCCGTTTAACGCCCTGCACAGCTGGTTTCCCCTTAAAGTGATTGCATTTTTTAGTTTTTCTTGTAGAAAACATTTTACTTTGTTATTTTACGATATTAAAAAATGTTCTTTTTTCGGTAAATTCCAGAGCTCCGAAGACTTTGAAACGCAAACGGTAACGTATATATTTAATTTATTTTTTTAATTAAGAATTGTTTACTGTAAATATGTTTACTAGTTTATGTGTTATATGTGATAAAATATTGATGGAAACAAAATATATATTAGAGTCGAACCGTGGTTTTTTCATGTAATATTTTATGAAATTGTGTTTATCTCATTGTAAGTATGAAGTTGACAGTGAAATATTTATTTTTTTTCTATTATTCCCATGTTACAGGTAAAACAATTTCTACAAGTAATTATTCATGTTAAAAAATGGTTACTTTTAGTCTACAGTTTCATTGAGGACTGTAGCCCCACCAAAATTTTAACCTAGGATTGCGCTCATGCTGCAACTGTTGGTGTATTGGAAGCATACGCGTGATCGACGCGTTCAATTATTGATAAGGCGGTCGGTACTTATGTCGGTGGTCATACTTTTTGTAAAAATACAAAATATTCGCTAGGAAAAAAAAGTACACGGATTCTTCTGTAACGCCGTACAAGAGAACATGTTTTGTCGATGTGCTACAAAATGAAAAAGAAAAGTCGACCGAAAAAAAAAACCGCGTGTTTACCAAATGGATAAAGTACGCGATTGAAATCGAGACAGAGGGAGGATTATTTTTTATTATTATTTGGAACTTAGAAAATTCGAAAATCGTCTAAACAAGAGTGTGTATGAAGTGTGTGGTATGTATTGTCGGGTACGTGAAAATGACGTATGGAGAAGGGGGAGCGGTACCCGTTTAAGCCGGTAAAACGTTAACGTTGTAGGTATAATAATAATATAGGGTTTTTATTGATCAAGCCGGTAACCGCGAGGCAACGGCCGCGGCACATGGCGTGTGCGTTATACTTATTAACTGTTGAGTCGTATTCCCGTCAACGTTTGCGTTTGTGTGTATACCTACCGTGGAATATTGGAAGCGATCGCGCAAAGGGGGCGGTTGTGGCGCGCCCAGGCGGAGACGGACGCGCGCGGCCGGCCGTACGCGGTTGACAAAGTGCTCCAGTCACGCCATGGCCCTGCGGCGTGCACGCTCGAACCGCCAGTAACAGCGTTGCCGCCGCGCGAACCGCCGAAGCCAGTGCCGTGTGTTTGACGGTGGTCGTCGTCGTCGCCGCCGGCCGACTATGAAATGCTCTCGGCCAACGGTATCACGTCGTTCTTGGCCGCTGCTCTCATCTGCACGCTATCGTGCATAGCCGACGCCAGTAAGTCACCGCGACAACAAAAAAAAAAAAAATTATTAAAATGAATAAAAAAAAAATTCTAATCGCCGTACTATATATTTTATTATACCTGTATAATAAATTATTATACATATATTATGCCAATTTTATCGTGAATCACTCAATATCTCACTGGGTTTAATAAGAAATAATTTTTTTTTTTCATATTACTTTTATACAATGTGATGTCAATTTTTCACGATTTATTTTTATTTTACCCCCCTTCAAAACTAATTATCTTTGTATCAATTTTTTTAAAACTTAAAAGGTAACGTACATATTTTATTAACTACTTTTTAAAGTTATAAGAGTTCAAAAGTTAGGACGGAAGGGCGAGTGCTGCGTGCTGAAGAAAATAAAAATAATACTACACTCCACCTTTCCTCCTCTTGCCCCTAACTTGAAAGTTCAATAACTTCAAACTTCCTTTACGAAACCCTTATACGTTATTTCGAGTTATAACAAATTCTGGATATTTTGAGACCAGAATCATTCTCCAAATCTTGAAAATTGGCCGAATCATATAATATTTTGTTTGAATTTATTTTCAAAAAATGCGTTTTTAAAAAAAAATTCTTCAACGTTTTGAAATTTAGTCTAAAAAGACGATTTGGTTTTAGTTTTTGGAAAATTAGAAATGAAACCTCTTTATATCCGTGATTGTCTTACAATTCTTAATTCATCCTGAACAGGCATATTAATAAGAAAACTAATAAACATTGCCAATAAAAACACTTTCAAATATTAAATATTACCTTTGATTTTTTGTAAAAGTTAAAACCACATGCATATTTAAAAAAAAACTATATTATAATACGACATAACTTCATAGTTAACTAATTTTATTTTATTTACCAACATTTAATTGTTTCATGATTGTAATTGAACTGTAATAATATTCTTTAAAATTAGATTCCTATTCAAATTCTTTATTTTATTTAGTGGCTTTTGGAATTTTATTATAGGCTATCTTGTTTTAGTTTAAATCCACAGTCAATTGAGCTGTTATTGTTTTGTAGAAAAAGTTCCTTAAAAATATTCGAAAAATAAAAACTACCATACACCTAGTATAAATTAAATTTATTATTTATGAAACACAAGATAAAATATTATAGTTAGTACATACCGCGTGTCGTACTGTATCATACGCACGGTTAATCCTCTTTTATCCCCTCCTAATTTCAACTAGACATTTCTACCCAAAAAAAATTAAATTGTGGTTAAACAAGGTTATGAATAAAAGTGGTAATTTTTCACTTAAAATAATTGCCCATTTTACATTTTTGTTTAATTCGAAGATGTATAAAATATGTAATAGGCACACAAAAAACACATAAATTGTTAAGGTTTACCTCATCAAAATTGCATTTACTTGTGCCGATATAATTTTCTCTGACACGATTTAGTCGTCCCTTAGTGAAATAGCGAAAATATTAATTAATCCATCCAACTGGTATATCTGATGGCTAAAAACTCAAATTAATTTTTCACTATGTTAAATTGTCTTACCTCGGAGAGTAAATATATTTCAAAAGGAAAATGTCTAGCACGAAGGAATGAGAACGAAGCGTACCGTCAGTGCATTCAATACAAACTTATAAAAGTAATTTAAGTCTGTACCTATAATATCGTTTCCTAGACAGAACTTGTATTATTATTATATTTCCATCTAGAGAATTTTCAACTATCAAATATTTACACTCAAAAACTTCTTAATTGGATTTAGCGGAGAATATAATGGAATTCAATAACTTCTCTGGTACGTGCCGTACCCGAAATCATCAAACACAGTTAAATAATAAAATAACAAAAACAAAAAAAATTAAACAATTTTTTTCCTAATAGTTTTTTTTTTAGTCGGATTGATAGAATTAAGAAAGAGAGGTTTATGTTTAGTCTTAATATCCGGCCTAAGAAATTATAATTATTGTATTTTATACTTACTTTTAATTAATTCGCCTCAATAAATTGCGCTGGCTTAAATTAAATGTGGAACAATATATATAAAACATTTATTAACGGTCAATAATACTGTCTTTAAATAAAACATGACAAACGAGCGCCATTTAAAATGTCATTCAAACGGGCTTTGTTTTATAATTGTGCATTTTTAAAAAATATAATAAATGTTCAACGCTGACGACGATGTTCGAAACTAAATTAGCGTCGTCGACGTTTTTTTCGAAAGAGAACAAACGATTTTTTTTAAAAAACTTCATTATAATTCGGGTTCTTGAATCCAAAAAAAAGTTGAACGAAATAAATAATTTGTCGTTAAACTCGTTCCGCTCAACTTTGAGTTGTACGTTCCAAAAGTAAACGAGATAGTATTAATTTGAAAAAAGAAATACAATTTTAATTATAATGTACATACTGTAAACGTTTTTTTCGAAAGGAACCCGAATTCGGACTTGGGACATTTTTTAATTAAAAAACTTACTAATTTTAACGTATTTAGAACTAAAAAGGAAATTCATTGAAAAACTAAACTATCGTCGCGTTGACGTGGCCAAAAATGATGATAATAATTAAGTAACGAAATATCTCCAATTATTCTTCGTGTTTTAATACCATTATTTTTCACCTGTACCAGTTTAACTTCATTGTTCAGTTTCTTTGGGTCCCTGGACATGCAAGGATTCACGGTAATATGAGGTCCTTCTTCTACCTTAATACCTCAGTCTGATTTCACCCTAATCTTGCGACGTCACATTTTCTATCTTTGGTCCACTTATTGGAGTAATCTTACATATGTTACCTTCTCACACGTGCAAATTAGATCCAAACGACTCCCCTATGTGTACTCTTCACGTCGATGAGAGTTTATTCATATCCTTTTTGACTGCCCCTCTTTGTCCTCCCGAACGTGATCACTTAGCTAATTTCCTATGATCCTTAAAAATTCCTTTTACTCACTGTTCTACGCTTAATTCCAATTTCGAGTCGCCCATTTTTCTTTCATTACTGAGGCTGGCTTTTCGATGTAATGTTTAGTATAATTAAGCATTGTTGTACCTATGTCCAAATGTCCTTACTTATTTTTATTGTTTAACTCTCCATAGTAATATAACCGTTAAGATAAATCGTACATACAATAGCCGAATAAAAAATGAAACAAAATTGGTTTTGCGTTTGCTTCGAAGCATTTGCATAATGTTTCTATTGAAAAGACAAAAAAACGTATTAACACGATCACGCGGAGCGGCAGCGGTTGTTTTTGTTAATTTATTTATTTTCTGACAAACAAATACGTTTCAATTAGGTTCGGCAGTGATTCTATTCACCGGCCTGTCATAATCAAAATTGTTAAACATTGCAAAACAAACGCCATCAGAGCGGTGCCAACGGACACGCCAGTCAATATAATAAAACAATATCATGAACGTTGTACGCGACCAAAGAGGCAATCTAATTGACAATCAGCATTGTATACATTTTCCTTTTATCGCAATTAAAAAAAATCTGGCCATGTTTTCTCGCCCCCCCCCCCCACCTCCCCCCATGAGTTCAATAGAAATGGCAAAACAAAAAGCCTTCTCGAGTTTGCAACGAATCCAACAAAATAAATCCACCGAAAAAAGATCCTGGGGTTTGAAAAAAAAATGTTTTTTCCTATTATATTTATGTTAATACGGGGCTTAGGATTAACAGTATTCGAGTTAAAATTAGTTATCTAAATATTCTCGTCAGGCATTATCGAATAGGTATTGTGAATACACCAGATAATTGTAATTATCCCGGATGAGTGTCTAACCTATTATATTCTAACCCAACACGAAAAACTTGTGTATGAGAAAATAGCAATAGCTGCTTGGCTTTAAAACAAATTAACTATTTTAAATGAGAGATCTAATTAAAGATTAACTTTTATTTTGAAATATATTCTGGAAAACTTCTGTTTTCTAAAACTTTATCCAAGAACTTTTAAAATAAAATCTTTATATATAAAAATGTTCATGAAGGAAGTTGCAATGGCTCTACATGGGCTGCGTTTAAGCTGTTACCGATTGAGACTTTTATAATGAAAGTTTCTATAAAACAGCTTTTTTGGAACTTTTATCAAAAGAGTTTTTCAATTAAATTCCGTTGGTCTTATACCCAATTTTAATTTCAACAAAACACTGTATATTTAGTTACATAACCTAACGAAATACATAAAGAATACAATTGTTGTGTTTGTTATCTTAGAATAAATATTTCTGAAAATACTTGTGTAATGTTAAATTCCTGTTATGTATAATAAAAGTTGTTGTATTTTTTAGATTTCTATTCTAATGGAAGTTTTGTTTTAAAGAAACTTTTCGGAGTATTTATTTTCCAACAAGAAGCAAATTTATAATAAATATATTTGTGACTTTTAAAGTTTGACAATCACCATGAGAAATCGTTTCAATAGACAAATTCAATTTAAAAAACAACCATAGATATTACTTATAACAATTAATGACTTAACGTAAACTATGACTTTATTAGTTTTAAATTGTTTGAAATATGAGAACTTAAGCTATGTTTTGTTAGAATTATATTTTAAAAATATGCCCTGTCTTTATGCTATATTGTTTCATCTCCTAACCAACTATCGAAAATTGGTTTCCAACAAAACACAGAAAAAGTTCTCACCTACATCTTTTATAATAAGTTGTTTTACTCTAAAACCACCCAGTAAGCCGTGTTTTTTGGAATTATAAAACTATGTCTAAATGCTTAAGAATAATTCTTATTACTTATCTAATAATTACACATTACAATTTATAATTTAAGCTTTAAATAAAGATTTTGCAAAAAAATGCCTATACCCAACTCCTTAATAAATAGGTGTATCTCGTCCCGTTAAGGTATCAACTTAAAAATCATACTGACCTCCAATCTCCATTGCAATTTTTTTTTTCTTTTGGTTGAAAATATTTTGCTTAAAGCAACGGTGTTAACGAGTAAACTCCGAAAATGTGGTATACTGTACACGCATCAGGTAAACGGTAAACTCTGATTTTACCGGCAAATGGGTTTTCGCCGTATTTCAACAGAAAAAAAAATAATAATAAAAAACATGTTCTATGAAATCGTACTACACACCGTGAACTGTCAAGAAAAGTATTTTTTTTTTCTTACTCAAAAGCACATTTTTCGCCATAATAACAATACATATTGAGTTATCCGAGTTTTATATTATATAACAATGTATTTTTTTTTTCTGAAAACAAATATAATTTTCTACAAAATCTGACACATAATATTAGACCACATACGTCACTGATACCTGATGTATCAAATTAATTCACACATACACGTTGTATCCAAGTAAAAAAATACACTAATTTTTGTAAGATGAAAGTCTCTGAAAACTGTTTATTGTTTTCAATATAACCGTATTATTACAGAGTGATGTAATTTGTCTGCGCCGTTGACACATCGCATAATCCATTACCGAACTTACAATATGTTTAGTCGTTTTTATGACTTTAAGTTTTAACAACGAAAGAGGAATGGTATAATAATATGTTGTTTATGGGAGACGAGGTAACATTTAAACTGTTCGTTGCTGTCCATCAAACTCAAAGCCGTTTAAATCATTGCATTAATAAAAACATATGGTAATAATATGGTATAGTCGCGGGTAGTCATCCCAAGTTCAACTCATAACGAAATATAAGTGACGTTCCAACTTTTCAAAATGATACACAACGATATAACTGAAAACTACCCTGGAAAAATTATGTTTGACAAAATCCGAAAATGCCTAAAATTAACCTAAAAATTTAAGTTTTTTTTATTAACGCTCACATACATCATACCTTAGTAAAAAAAATTATTGCCTAAGCTCATAAAAGAAATTTAGACTAGGTATAGACAAACTATAGGTGCGTTGAAATTACCTTACAAGGCTGTCTTTTATAAAGAAAAGAGTCGTCAACAACGTATTGAGATTTATATTTTAACTTAAAAAATCAACTTAATAACAGTTTTATGTAATGTTCAATGGATCACTAATAAAAAATATTCCAAAAATGAAGATTCGTTATATTTTAATGTATGTAAAGGTAACCAAGCATGAATATTATTTAAAAAATCTAGGTTAATATTTACTCAACTTAACGTTGGTGTTAACAACCCCCAGTGGGTTTAAATATGACTTCGGTAAACGTTTACACACACAAATATTGATATTAAAAGAAAATGTATGCCAATGCGATACTTTGGTAGGCAAAAGTTGAAAAAGTCGACCCTTTCCATCAAAAACTCTTAAAAAAAAAGGAAATTGATTTGTCAAATTTTAACTTTAGCACAAACAAACTTTTTTATATGTCAGATATTCCTTTAACAAACGACAATCCAACACCAGGAAAGAAATTAATCCTATCCCATTGGGACGAAAAAGTTTTTCTTTTCTGTGCCGCTGCGCCAATTTAACGACTTGAGGTTAAATATTAAAATATTGAACTTTAATAATAAACGTTTCTTTTTCGAACTATCGACCAGACTAAAAAAAACAAATTAGATATTAGGATTAGGATTTATTAGACGAATCATTTTTTAAATATTTTTTAGTGTTATTAAACGACGGTTGATGACTGAAAGATATTGTATTTTTTACAAAATCCTTTCAAGTTTATTAGTGTAAGATATTTGATGGCCGAAAATTCTCGGGGTGTAAGTATGATAAATACTAGCACTGTTATTCAGCTTAAGTTTACCCATTGCGGAAGTTTAGAGTGTAATGCCGAAAATGATAATTTACAGTTATTAGTCTAACGTTTATGTACATACATTACTTGTAAGTTGTATAATTTGCATTAAATGAACTAAAGATACGCCTCCACTTCACTCCTTTCTTGGGGACACTTTCTTTTAACACACTATTACTCAAACTGATGTTGATAGGGTTATTATATTATGCTACCGGGAATAATTTTTTAGATTGTGTATATTTTATCTTTTTTTTTCCAGACGCCGGTATTGATTGCTTCAAATGTGTTTCACTAGAGTGGAAAAACCGTGCATGCGATGACCCGTTCCACAATAACTTCAGTTCCGGTCTCCTCGAGTCGCCATGTATGGGAGGGCGAAAAAACCGCAATGGTCTGTTTCCTGCCACCGCTTGTATAAAACTCACCGGATACTACCGTAAGTTTCTTGTTCACTCACTTAAGTAAATCATTCAAGTTTCGCGTCCCGAAACAGAAATACACTTCACAGAAGTTACGTTTCTCGAAAACGGTTTTATTGCATCGAGCAATTGGAGTTAGTGAAATATATATATATATATTAATCAATACTTCACTGTCGTATTTTGATTGGGCGTTTACCAAACAAAATATTATTATAACGCAAGTCGAAATCGTTTTTATGGTAATTTTACATTTAATTTGGCTGAATTTATAAACATCTCGATTTCATTTCTATGCTAAATTCTTCCGTCAAGTACATCTCTTACCTGCCTATTGTTTTAGTAAAACGACAATTTTCTTATAAAAAACCCAACTTTGCTGGGACAAAAAAAAAACCAAAATCTCACCCAAAATGTACATTATATACCTCAATACATTTTTCATCTTGTCACATTATTATCATTTTTTTTTTTTAAACAAAGAGTAATTTTTTACAGAAAAAACTGGACAGCATGTCACGGTAAGAGGATGTGCATTGGATAGCGGGACGCTCACCACAGACACAGAAATCATTCGGATGTCACATTGTGGAGGATTTTTTTTTGAAGATCAGTGAGTGAATTTTCAATCATTATAACAAAAGTACAGTTAACTGAGACATTATCCGGATAATGGAAACATCATTTAACCGACTGACAGATGGCTAATGTTGTCAGTATTTTGTTTTTTCGTCTAAAAAATCAACACACGCCTTGATCAACAACCAATACTCGTAGTAATCACAATTATTGAATTGAATCAGATGTGAATCAGATTTTGGCTTTAAATAGTTTTTTTTTTAATTACATATATTATTCCTTTTAGGATTATTAATTGTAACCATAAAAACGTTCTAAAAATCTGATTATATGATAATAGTGGATGTCTGAACATTCATTTTCAAATAATAACTTAATATAACATTCGTAATTCTTGGACCCTTTGTGATCACTCCTACACAGATGACACGCATAGATAGTTGAGAATGGGCATTGCTATTTGCATGTCCCTTGAGATAAAACCAACGACGTTCCCCTACAAAATGCCCAACATACGGCACTACTTTTACTGATATTTGCGTGTAAAACATTTTAATCAAAATATAAATCTTAAGGCGTTCGCTTCAATTTTATATTTTAAAAAAAGACACTGCCAACGTTTTTGTTTTATTAATATATTTTTTAAACAATATAAATTACACTTTTCTTTACCACTATAAATTTCGAAAACAAAGTGCAATATTCGATGTTCCTTGATTTATGACTAAAGTATTTTGTTATAATGTAAGAGCAGATTTCAGAGAGAATCGGTGATTTTTTAAGGTGAAAAAGGGGGGATTTAGAGTTTTAAAAAAAATACAATAACGATGCGTAGCAGATTAAAAAGAAAAAAGCGATTTAAGGAATTAAATAAACAATAAGACATAAGTAAGTTTTTGTGTATACAAAGTACATAGATTAATACCTTGTTTGATAAATTCGAGTAAAACCGCAATCATACTTTAGAATTTGTTTTGTTTTATCATTATAATGTTATCCATAAAATATTATTTTCATTTAATATCCGACAGTGCACGATGGATGCACACAAATATACTTATTTGGAACCAAAATTGGATGAAAATACTTTATTTTATATCTGTCAAAAATATGCAAAAGTTATCATGCTCATTTCCCGTACAACGAAAGACCCAATTTGTAGGACACGATATTGTTTTTTTTTTTTGTATATCAATTCGACAATATAGCTTTCTACTATATTGCTCTCCGCCGTACCTATACCTATGAGGTTTTCCTGGCTATCTTGTCTGATATCGGATATATGGTTGGTGGCACCCGATTCAATGGGAAAAAACCAACGACTGTTGCAGTCGGGCCAGCATAAAAATGTCCTCGCTTCACAATACAATTTTAGAACGAAAATGCAATTGATCCCTTTATGGGTGTTTCAGATATGTGGAAGGTTGTTTGCAGAGCTGTGACGATGCGGACGGATGTAACCCCGGTTCGCCTACGCCATCGCTGGACTTTACTCTCGCCGTGTTGTGGATAGCAGCCTTGCCCGTATTCAGGTTTATGGTGGTGCGATAAAATTTTACCTTTTTTTTTTATTACTATACTAGGAGTCGCAACGTATAACGCGACTAAACCAATAATAAAAAAATCTCAACAAAAAACCAAATAAAAATGAAATGGTTTTTTTTTTTTTTTAATTAACGCCAACGACAGCGCCGATCATCATATTTTCGGGGTGCACATGGGTATATTAAGACGGTGTGTTAGTATGTATACTTACATGCCTATTGAGTGTTGTAATTTGTTTTTTTTTCTTCAAAATACTTCCTTTTGATATATTATTCACACGGCCAATACATGTGTACATGTCATGGAAAACGCGAATCGTTTATGGCAGTGTGCAATAATGTAGAAATATGACCAGACTACAATAATTGCGGATATTATATTGTATTTTTCCTTTTTTTTTTTACATGGCTTTTTATCGATTATATTATAATATTGTGTAAAATTAACGAGTAACTGAACATATCCCCTTTGAGCATATCTCGATACGTTAAAATTGTATGACTATAGTATTTTTTATTTAGCGAATTAATTATTATTACAACAATGTACCTAGTTATTCAAATTTCAAAAATAAATTATGTAATATTATAAGGAATATTGTATTATATTATTGTTCATTTATACAACCTAAACGTCCTAACATCCTATATGCGTACACACGAATTCTTCATACATCGGTTTACCAAAGGTAATTTTTAAAAGACCAAAAGTTGAATACTATATGCCTTCAGTCCTTTCCTACATCAGAATCGAGAAAAATCACCCTGAAAATCAATAACATACCTAACTTTAAAATATAGGCTCGACAAAAAATTCAAAATTTGTTTTGGGTATTTTTACTTAATAAACAACTTCAACACTACCACCAAAATATCTGTACTTGCCAAAAAAAATGCATAGGTCCAGCGGTTAAAAAGTAATCGTTGGATAATCAAACAGATAATTCTAAAACCGAAAAATCTTCTCATGTCTCCGCGACGAAGCTAAAAATCAAATGAGTTTTTATACATTGGAATCTAAATTGGTCACGACTCGTTTATACTATATAATATAGACAGAAAATAGTATAACATTTATGAATAGTTCTAGAAATTTTAAATAATAACAGCAAGAGGTATGGCTATAAGTTGAAACTAAATCTAATTTTAATCATAAGTGGAATCAACGAATGCCATTAAATTAATATCGTGTCATAGCTATAATATGATCACTTTATATACGCAGGTATATATTTTAGTTTCCTGTGAGTAAAACTTTTCGGGTTCAACTCGCTGGACCGTTATCGGTTGTTCGGAGGGTAGGAATAATAAGGTATGCGCGTGTACATGACATTCCGGTTTGAAGAGGACACCGTCAGTATAAAATTATACATAATGGTATATGTGCGAGATAATATATATATGTAGTTTATCAGAGATATAGCAAGCGAGAAGTAAAATATGTTCTATCGATTTTCGTATTAGCGATTAAACTCATATTTTACCGGGAAAATATATTCGATATGTGCCTACACACCTACGCGATTAACAGGATATAGACGAACAATTTATTAATACATCAAGTAGATAAGAAATATAAAATACACAAGGCCAAACTGAAGGGGGGGGGGTGTTGAACTTAACCCCGTCGTGTTCGTCGACCTTTAAGCAAATATATACACTACTGGAACTCGTAACATTAAACAAAAGTCGTTGCGTGACCCTGCCGAAGCCCCGCCAAAAGTATAATCATTTAGTGTTTGTTGAACACTAAAATACATAAATATGTATTAATTTATAATAGCCGTGTGTGTAGTAATATTGTAGGTTAATCTAGTTCAGAAACCCTGGTCGTTTCCTAAGCCCGTATGGCCAACTGAATCTGAAAACGGTCAAGAGTAAAAGGCAACAATAATTAACGAAAAAAGTGATGATTGGATCAGACAGTATTGTTATATTATCTTTGCGAGTACGGACCACAACAGACTACAATACAAATTATAAACTACAAAAAAATAATAGTTAAAAAAAAAAAACCTAGGTATAATGTACTAGTTTACTTGAAACCGTTTCCAGTCGACAGATCTTTATACCTCTTTACAGCCGCACTCCGAGTATTTAATTTATTTCTTACATTATAATACTGAAAAAATCATATTCTCACAGGAAACCGAATTGTAACTACACACATTTTTTGATAATGACTCCTAAATATTTAAATTGTTTCACATAATATTAAAAAATATTGCAACAATTGAAGGGGTCAGTAGTTAAAGGTGTTAAGTGACATTTTTTCGAAAATGCATTTTATTTCATGTATAAATGTTATAACGTTATAGTATTTTATAGACCATCCCTAGACAGATATTTTTTCTCTTATAAGTTATTTCATATATTGAATATAAGTTCCATACCTTTTGTGTAATATTTAGTTACAAAAGTAGCGTTCCTGAACAATTCCAAAAATGACAGCCAACACCAACACCTTTCACTGACCCCTTCAATTATAATAAAATATGATATTGTTTCTGCGTAGGGTACACGATTATTATCTATTATAATCATACTTTAGCCGACTCACAATATTTTATTCATAAACAATATTGCTTTTAGCGGTTATTGTTTTTTAACTGATTACTTTGTTATGCGACTATATCGCCTGGACTAAAAGAGGTGTTTGTAGTGCAAATGTGTTTTAAACAATATTGATGTAGACAATTTTTAACTATAATTGTTGCAACACACGGAATACGGATAATATTTTTGTTAACAAATGAAGATAATATAGTACATATTATACGATGAAAAAATGTTTTAATTATTGTGTATCTAAATCAATTTTTAAAATAATTGAGATACCAGAATTATCATTAATAGTATGTAAAAATTGTAGTTTTCATAGTTAAACCGTGCAAACAGTGTTATAACCAAAAACGAAGCACTACATTTGCATCGGCTATTAATTACGAATTTGATGTGTCTATAACTTAATGCGAATCAGCATTAAAAAAAGTAAAACCGTGTTATTGTAAAATCAATACCTTCGATCAGCTTCACATCAAAGATAAAAAAATACTGGCCTACCGGAAATTCATAGTTATTAATTCGCTTATGATGTGCTAATGTGTTTCACAAAAAGCCCAAAAATACTTTTTACCTGTTTTACCATCTGTCACTGTCTTTAATGGTTTTTTATCAATTTTCAAGTCAAATAACCAACAATAGTTAATCCGGTTGTACCATCCATCATATTAATTAGTCGAATACAATTATTATGTCACAAACAGTATAATTATTACATATTGTTATTAATACTTTCGAGCTCCAACCGTTGCCGATGAAATATGCCAGTAAATATCTAAAATTGTTAATATATTGTTCTCTCGATATTCGCACTTTTAATCAATCACTGAAACATTGTAATCCGTTTATATACAATATATATCTTTATATATTGGCATTTCTAAAGCGGTTATGTGAGTAATTGATACGTTACACATCGGAAATAACCTTATACTCGTATTATTATGTTAAACGCATTTTCATTGACGTTCCTTAACGAATATCAATTCCACTGTAAGCCCGAACAAAAGAAAAACGTGACGCTATAAAGAATAAGAAACAGGAAACTAAAAAAAAAAAACAAATAATATCAAAACGGTATAACTAGAATACTACCGTCGGTTATACTAATGCGGTAACATATAAATAAACGTGACAGTTTAAAGTTCAACGATGGCAACTGTTCAAAATAACTCCATCCATCGCCGAGCAAAATAAATATAAACAAGTATAAAAAAAACATATTAGTGAAATTCCACGACAAAAAAGGTGTAACCGCACTTAGAGCTTTTGTGAAATTCACTGTAGGCCCGCTCAGGTACACTTGCAGTAAGTGCCTGCCTACAAAGATAATAATCAAATGTTTACTCGATTGATTGAATTATTATATTCATTGTTTAATATTATATTAAACCTAATGTACTTTTATAATGCATGTTTGTACAACAGACATTGTATGTACCCAAGTCCTAAGAGAACAAACAAATGGATAATATTAACTGGCTCATCTCACAAAAAAAACAATACAAAAATAGTAGTCGTTATTATAATTTATTATAATGTTTATGTCGGTGATGGTATGAAGAGCGGAAGACATCTATACTACCTATAGCAAGATAAAATGTAAAATATAGCTCTCCTGTTTTCCTGTTACAATTTATCAATTTCTATCTAAAAAAAAGAAAAACCTATTAAATACCTAATAAAAGTGTTAGGTTTTTATTTTGTATTTTCATCAAGACATTAATAATAATAAAACTCGTTCTATTTAAAGAAATGTATTTTTAAACAACTATACTATAATTTTTTTTTTAAGTAAGGCTTCGACAACTAGGTCATTAACTATTACATTTGTAGTTGTTTATTATTTTTAAGATGTGATGCTAATATGTTTTACAGTAGAAAACTTTTGAAAAATGTAATAATATTAATACCGGAAAATCGCAATCTTCCAACGAAGATTAAAAAAGTTCACAACAGAGCGAGATTAAAATGAAAAAGTACTACGTTGTTGTATATGCTTTGAAGTTTTAAGCCCACAATTTATAGAAAAGCTACTCTGATATTTTCTATTATACACAACATAATATCAAAGGCTTGCTTTTCCGATTACTTTCTGATTGCCTCGGTCGGATTGTAAATAAAAAAATTGAAAAAAATGTCTTTATTGTTGTATTGCTGAATGAAAATGCAGAATAAATTCTGTTTTCCCCAAAATATATGAGCATAATTGAAAAAGGCAATTCCTTGAATATTATTTACTGAGTAATAAGAAAAAAAGAAAGATTGTACAGAATTTAACGAAACCAATTGAATTTTGTGTCAATCCATATCAAACCAGCCAACCTGAATATTACTATTACTGTTGCTGTTACTAGACTATTTTTAATATTATTGTAAAATTATTACCCAAAGTATAACAATACAAAATGCAAAAGCGTTTTTTTTTTTAGTACTTAACTGAATTTTTAAGTACTCGAGTTTAATTTGAGTTAAATATTTTATTGTTAGTAAATAATTTGTTGTACAATTTCAAATGTATTAATATGTAATTGCCTCGAGGCTTTTCCTGTGTTTTGGTCGTCTAGCAGAACGAGGGTTTTGATTTTCAATCAAAAAGTGTGTCATATTTTAGTTGTAAGTATATTATCAAGAATGGAAATCCCAAATGTCCGAAATGTAGATTACGAGTCTTACTTATAAAGCACTTATAAGACTAATAAATAATACGAAAATTGTATTTTTTATATAGAGCGGCGGTTTGTAATTATTTCTAACAATATTATACCGATTTATATACCCTCTTCAATTCCCCTTGGAGAGTGTTCAAAAGCGTAGTCCACCATCGTGGTCAGACAAAACTGACGCTAATGGTGTCAACCCAATGGACATAGTTAGTACTATGTAATTCATTTATAAATGGTCAAACGATTACAAAGCTATATAAATTGTTTTTCTTTACCTAATTTCAGTTTGTCAAAACTATCTCGACTATGTAAATTTAATTACAAGTTAATTTATATAAGCTTCAGGTAATTATTTTTATATGAGTAAAGCAATTTTAGTGGTAAAAAATACTTTTGCTGTGACAAAATTGTGAGACTTCCAAAGTCAATGGAAATTGATCTCCTTAAGCTAAAAAAAAAATAATACTTTTTTTTTAAATTTCAGTTTAAACTGAAAAAGTATTTAAATATTTTGTAAATTATTAATTTGTTCAAATTAAAAATACAATTTATTTGATATGACATTTTTATCTTTCAAAATCATTTAAATTTGTAATGTAAGTATTATTTAGGTTTGTTTCTAATCCAATTTTATTAGGTTTTATATTATCAGAGAGTATATAAGTGATAGATATGGTGATCATAGTTCATAAACATAATATTATCAATAACAAGTTAATTATGACTTATAACCATCATGTATGGGTCTTGGAATTTGCAATATTATACTTTTTTTATTATATACCTAAAGGTGAGGGCGGGTTAGAGCTCAATCGCCTTTTATGAATTTAACCATGATTACATGTTCAATAAATAATTGACATATCTATTTTTCCTGGAAAAAAAATAATTTGTCTTTTGCGTACTCCAAATAATGACAAAAAAAGTATAAAATGACTTTAACCAATTTAAAACATTAATGTGGGTAATGCCAACCACAGGTCGAATAATTATTAGTGTTGTTTAACACTAAACGTCTGAAGTATAATTAACTTTATTGAAAATTAAAAATATTAGCTTCGGCGACAGTTTCAAAGATGTAGGTACTGTGTTTAAGGCATATTTTAAATTACTTACCGAGAAAAGTAATCACACTTAAAAGTTTTGTTACAAACTTTGACAGTGTAAAATTACAGAGAACCTACTTGTGCTTCTTGACATGGAGATATTATTATACACTACCAGCCGAAGTAATAACTACAACTAAGGATAGTAATTAAAGTTTGAAAAATAACATATTTTTTTTAGATTTCACTTTAAACAAATATTCTATGTTTTTATATGTGTAACACACAGCGACAGTGTATTGAGTATTAACAATTTTTTATAATATTATTTATAATTAATCGTAATACTATAATTAAGAATAATTACCAATGAATGACATTTTAATATTTTCAAGTATGATAATATTAGCAGTTTATCGTTTAGGACCTCAAGCTTATCAGTTATCAACCCATAATAAAACGTTTGAGAAAAAAGTTGGCATTTTAATTGCGGCCACCAAGACCTTTACGCTGCTTAATTGCCTACACTTAGCGCCGTCCGATATAGTTTTTTATTAAACACACATTTCCGTCTGCCATTGAAATACGTACTCTTTAGTACACCGTCAAGTCTTTTTGCTATTTTTAATTCGTTTGATCATACATTTAAAAGCATGTAAAAACTGCAAATCAATTTCGAAGACAGATTGTTGTATTTTTTGACAATCGCCATTTATTTAGATAAGAATAAATTCTCTCACAAATAATATCGTCTCCGTTCACGCAAAACACACCAAGTCCAAAAATGGGATTTTTGAGAATAGGCTTTTTAAAATTGTACAAACTTTATAATGTTTCCCCGAAATATCTAATTGCTTTATTCCTCGATTTACTTTATTTTCGTTTACACAAAGTAGAATGTACAGCAACTGCTGGCCGTTTACAATAGTTTAACAATATCGAATTACTATCGTTTATTTATCAGCTGTCTGACTGTCGGCAACGCGTGCATTAGATACACCATGAATGCTCTGGTTTTATCGAATGATTCTCTAGACAATGACGTGGACTCGGCCAAGGTGCTTTGGACAAACGGCGTGCCCATCACGCTGGTGGAGACACTGCCCGTGAAAAGGGTTGCAACCACCAGTGAGAGTCTGTTCGACGCTAAGCCGTATTATGTGCCACACGGGTTAAGCAGAACCTACATGAACCGGGTGACCAAACTGGCTGAGGATATTGTAAGCACTGTAGTGTCTGACGCCGAGTGGGTCGCCAATGACCGCTGGAAGTCGTGCAAGTAAGTGAAACTTGAGAAAGCTAACCGTTGAAAAAGTACGGTGAAATGTTCACTTGAAGAAAAAACATTGGATAATGTTAACATGTCTTACGGTACCTTTGTGAGAGAATTCTAATACAACAGATAAACCAAGCTCTGTCATATCAAATTTGTCTTCATGTTAATTTTCGTTTTCCTCCCCTCCGTTTGTCACCGCTTGTCACTAACTATTTGTTGATTAGCCGTCGATAATTAAAAAAATTATACATCAGCACTAACAGAACTTTAACTTTGGACAGGGCTGAAAGGCTAAAGTTCAAAGACTCATTCGTCCACAACGCGGCCTCGTTTGTCAAACAGTGCAGGGATAAGGTACAGTTGCCGAAATCATCAAAATCTTGCAGTCCGGCTACATTGTACCTTTTCAACGTGTTCCGTAAAAAATCGTTCAACGATAGAATAGTTATGGATAAAATTGCAGAACACATTAAATACGAATGGAAACTAGACCCCAAGTATTTATACACCATCGATAAGACCAAAGTCGCGACCGAGGGTCTTCTCACAAAGCATTGTTACAAGGTAATACAATCGCCTATCATCATTAATAGTGAGTTAACTAGTCTGAACCCAAAAATATAGTATCATCTCCATAATTTGTCTGTTGAGGTTTTTCACCACATAATATGTAGTGTTTAAATAATAATTGAAACTTCCTCTCTACTATTGAAATGCATTTTATTAAACTATGTAATCATATCTATTCCACAGGCAGAGTTTTCGGTACCAACGAAAGAGTACCCAGTTCCACAGTTAACGGTATCGGTTTTCTTTACGGTGGAAACCTCGGCTACACATTCAAGGAACGAGCCAATATTTGTAAGTCAGAACGATCAATGTCTAATTAGACATACTGTTTTACAATAGATAATTAATAATAACTTTACAAAGATTTCTGATATTATAAGATCGATAAAAGATAAATATAAAACTATCAATGATACATGGACATTGTCAGCACTCACCTAAATAATGTTATAATTGTTTTTTTTTTTACATTTTGAAGTACAGATAGAGTATTCGTTCGAAACGGAAATGCGAGTATACGTGCTGGGCAAGGATTGGTTTCGAAGACGTCGTTTCGAGCAGCTGTTTGAACGCAAATTGACCATATACAAAGACATCAATAGGTATGTCGGATGGTACAATGCTTCGACAAGATTTTCAAAAAACTAGTGTGGCAAATAGTTTAATAAAATAATTTTATTTTTGAACTAACTTTCAACGTGGTGGTGTATAACAAGTTGTATTACGCATTGATAATAATGACTGAAAATATAACATGTAAAAAATGTGAATATTATTATTACCTATATATATATATATTGTGTTAAAAACTTTTCAAATTCACTAATTTTCCTCCAAAATCGAGAAAAATAACCAAAATATGTACATATTTTTCAACAAAAAAATAACGGCTTGTTTATAAGAACTCGGAAGTGTAGAAATCTGTATAAAATATTATTTAGACAGTATGACCAATATACGTTTGACAAACCGAAAAATATCATTTGTACGAACAAGTGTTGTCGAACGAAACAGAAAAATAATATTATTTACCTATGCTTTTTGACAAATTAACACAAAGGAAACTTTAGCGACCGTATAAAAACTTCCCAGTGTTATAGGTTAGTATGACCACCATATCATACGAAAGACTTGTATTTTCTTTTTATGGTATAATTAAAAATATAAAAAAAATAACGATTCCTAAAATGTGTAAATTTTTGTCATGTTGTTTTGCTATAACGTCAAATATAAAAAACAATAGAATCAGCTAACCGTAATAGTAATTTCAATCTTATATTTTGCAGTTGTACAATATAAAAAAAAATATTACATACGTTAAAATGTTTTACAATGATAGGAAGCTCTACAAAATATTTAAATATACTATGTTATTTTACAAAAATACATGTACAAGTAACAACTAAGAATGTATTTTATTTGTACAAATGAAATGTTTCTATTAATTTGTAGTCATAATAATATATTTTCAGATTAAATCGTAGATTTATTTGAGGCTGACCAAGTTACATTGGTTTAATAACAATTATTATATCAGTCATTAGACGAAAAATCCAATTTGGTTTTTTTTACATTTACTTTTTTATAATTATATATTATTTTTTTTAGATTAATCATTTACCATTTTTCATTCAAACAACTTATGAAACCCACGTACGTACTTTTAATAATGTAAAAACATTCAAAGACCATTCAATTGTTATATCAAACCCCCAGGCCGAGAGAATTCTGTCACGACTTGTGCGACTTAAAAAATTCGTTTTTGTGTAATTGCAAAATCGTGTTACATTGTGCTCGAACAACTTAATTGAAAAGTTAAAAAGTGGACAACATAAATCTATGTATATCTGACTAAACATAACGAATTTAAACGGTGCATACACAAACGAAATCGATTGTCTCAGTTTCAGCGTTGACGAAGGCCTTGCATTTTATGGATGTGGTTGAATTTTCGGCTGCTAGATGTAATTGAATTTTAAATCAATAAAACAATGTTCATAAACCAAGTTGGTTATAAATTTATGGAAAATAGCAAAATTAAAGCTATAGTTTTAATAATAATGCAGAAAATCCTGAAGAAGAAGAATGTTACAGTACACCTTATACCCAATACCAGCTGGTCTACACTATAAAGTACAGTCCAGGTGATCTAACAAAATTACACATACATTTTTTTCAAAAAAATCTTGACAGGGTGGTTCGAGGATGGTAATTAAACATCAAGGTGCTGATGCATTGTGAACAGCCAGTAATAATAATTAAAAATAGTACCTTTTAGTATTAGCAATACCTACCAATTTTGTTTACCATTTTTCTTGTGTTTTTTAATAAACCATAAACACATTACGAGACATAGCTATTTTGTTGAATGTTTAATTCTCGAAAAATATTATTTTAAAAATAAATATCAAGTTAGGTGGTGTACATGCTAAAAATGTGTACCTCGAGATCAGTGGAGTGTTATCGAATCGAAAACATTCATCTAAACCAAGGCATGCGAACTGAAGTGGCAAACATTCTGGATTATATCCGGTGTACAGTGTAATGTAATTCAAGCTTTTTAATATGCAGAAAGGTCGCATTATGGATATAACCCGTCATATATACCTGTATAACATGTATATTATACGCCCTTTATAAGCATGCAACGTCAAAATTATAACCGTTTTACATATAAAACAAATGATCAAAAAACAATTTTTTTAAATAAAAAATAAATTATTTAAAATAATAACCACTTAATATACAACAAATCAAATATACTTAAATAATTGCAAAAAAACTAATTCTACGAGAAATCAGCAAGTTCCCATTTAAAAATTAAAACCATTATGCGTCGGTTGAATTTATAAAAATTTAAAAAATAATAATGTATGTAATCTAGTGATGAGAATCCGAAAATCCGGATTTTTCAAGAAAACGCTTTTTAAGCCACTTGAAAAGCATATAAATGTACTATTACAATATAAAGATGTGAACCTAAGTAAAATTTGTTGATAAAATTAAATTTAAAAAAAACTCTTAACTTTGTCTATAAAATGCTTTCGGATTTCGGATTTTCGGATTCAACAAATCCGAAATAAAAAAAAACAGTTTATCTCTTTGGTTTTTTGTTTTATTTTCATATATTTATTAAAAAATGTTACTTAGGTACAGAGCTTTATATTGTGAAATTCTTTAACACTTATGATTTTTAAGTAGGTTAAATAGCGTTTTTTTTTTTTTGTGAAAATCCGGATTTTCGGATTTCCATCACTAATGTAATCCCATTCACCCCACGATTTTACATGGGTGATTACAAAACTTGCTTTATTATAATGTACTCTCAATGTAAATGATATAAGACAATATTTTAATTTTAGAAAATACTACACCTGTTATTACTTAAACTGTATTTTAATTTCTGATATTTATCGCACAACACTCTTGCTAATGCTAAACCATTAAAAACATTTTCCTATTAAAAAGAATTTACAATTTTGGGGTTGATAGACCGAGTGGATCTATTAGTGAAGTCATAAAGTACAAAACAGTTCTTTTTTCCAACGTTAATTTTTGCTGATGGAAAATAGTAACGAGTCAACTTCATTTGACTAATGTTCTACGCAAGTAAACCACTTTGTCTATGTACAACATCCCTAGATCAACTTTAGTTTAGAAGCCACTTGCTCGTTGAGCTTACATGATGATGATGATGACCTTGAAAACTGTCATTAGATTAGATTTTAATTTTTGTAATTAAAAATTTAATAGGAGCAATACTACTAAAAATCATAATTCGGTATTGCTTAATATTAATTTTTTAAATATTTTATTTAATTAAAACATGACATTCAAACTTTTAATTGTTTATACAAAAAAACATCCTTTAAGTTAGGTTTTTCACAACTTTGAAAAACAACACTAGTATAAAGAGACAAAAACAATAACAAAAACAATTAGCTTAAATAAATAATTTCATAAGTTCTGAAAAATAAAAATTTTAAGTTAAATTCTTTAATTTAACTTATATAGTAGCTAATTCCTGATTGGATTGCACTAAGTTATATATGTAATCACATTTGATGGAGTAACTGTCGATAGATATCTTATCAAAAATAATACAACTGAACTGGGTTAACATTAATTGGGCCAAAGTTTTCAGTGTACTATCACTCCATTTCGAAACATCGGCATCTAAAATTTTTTTTAAAAAACAACCGTTAAATTAACATCACAACTTTTAAATGTATTAACTACCTTTAATATAACATTTAATCGCAGACGCTGGTAGATAAGCAAAATCTGAAGACATTTTTCGTAAGTCTTCAGCGTCAACAGAGTACTCTAATCCCCAGTCTAAGAAATGAACGGTAAAAATATTTTTACTCGGATCATCTTCAGATATTTTCGTACACAACGCTCGGTACCATAAACCATCATCTGTAAATTAATTGGAGAATTATAAAACTATAACAGTTGTAAGGTTATTTTATTGATATAAAATTGTATTTTGAAGTTAAAGAAATTAAGGTAACTCACCAAATTTAGCCAAACAAAGTTCACCAATCGCTGGCGAATAGGGATATGCAACTTCTACACAATATTCTTGAAGTTTCACTTCCAAATCGGCTACGGCATCATCAACAAGATGATCTCTCATTAATAAATAGTCTTTATGTTGGCACAAGAATGTTAATGTTTTACTCGAACCCTTAAGCCAACGAGCGTACTGTACATCTTTAATTGTAAAAATATTTGGGGTCAAACTTCGATTTGGAGACTGTATTACAGGGGATTTATACTCTAATGGTTGTATTTGAGATACATTTCCATTCATCTAAAAATTATATTTACAGTTTAAATAAAACCAAATAAATTATAATACACTTCCAATGTGTGTTGATATAATTACTAAGTTTCCATCATTTGGTGTCGAAAGGTCTTTGTTAAAATCAAATTCATTCCCGCCGTTGGGAATAGGCGTTGAAGAGAATGACGGATATCCTACATTGTTCTACAATTGAATGAAAAATTGTTTTACCATACTAATATGATTATATATTATATTTAAAACCAAAACACTAATAATTACCAGATCTCCATAGGACTGATTTATATTAGTAGACGCCTCAACTAACTTAACAACAGTACTATCTTCCAACTATATCAAAAAAAAGTTTTAATTAATATTGAACAAAACACTGTTTAAAATTTAAAAATATTAAATTTTTACTAAATTCTTACATGTTTTTTTGCAATAACTTTAAATGTGTTGTATAACATTTCATGTGGTTCTGGTTGGATAATAATTTTTGTGAGCTATAAATAAATAGTTTATATTAGTAAGGCATCTATTATTACCATACCATTTAGTTTTTATTATTAACATAATATAATAACATAATATTATAATTAAAATACTTTTCAGAAACCTATTGACTAGTTGACTCACATCAATCAGAGCAACCTAGCAATTTAATTTTAAAAAAAATTTGACTAATTTTTTGAGAAAGTTTTTCATGTTATAGCCCCACACTAGATCTATCTTCAGTATAATTTTCAGGCCTTATGTCCTAAATGTTTGCTGGAAAAAGTGAAATAGAGAAAAAGTTTTTACCCCTTCTAGGCGATAAGGTTTTCTTAAATATATAACTATATTTATTTTTATTTTTTAAAGTAAAGCACATCTGAAGAATATTCCATAAAAATTTGTAATTAATTTGACTGATATACGGATAATCAGTTTAAAAGTTTATAAGATAATGTGGATCCAGACATAAAAAAATATGTAAAAACATTTTCATTAAATCTAATAATACTTACCAACGATTTTCCCTGGTATTTTGGTGACAAACTAAATATTTCTTTAATATCACAAACAACGCTGACTTTTGTGACATCAATAAGATTTATTCTTGCAGTACATTCATCAATAATTTCCAATACTTCTCCTCGATGCCTATAAAAAAATAAATGTTAATACTATTTATTATTAAAAATATTATTTCATTTATTACCAAGTGGTACTGAATAAAACGGCACATTGCATATTCATTTTAATCTTATCTACTGGTTGGAATGTTTCTCCGTCTTTAAACATTATATTTCCTAGTCGTTCAAATTCTAAACGGCTATCAATAGTGTGTACTATATATGCCGAAGAAGATATTTTATCAACTACCCAAACCTATGAAGTAAATCACAATTAAAACATAATTTATAGGTGTTTATAGTCAATACTTCTTTTAAAAGTAAATATTGACTATATTACCAACAATTGTTATACATTTTAACATTAGTTTCGTAATGTTTACCCTTTTCATTAAGCCTAACAATGCTTGTTGAAACTGGATGATGATACATTTATAGAATACAACTAAAAATGAGTACTAAGAAAAAATCAATTAAAAAAAAATACCTGATTAGGAATGTTCAAGGGTAATTTACTATACTTGATGATAGACTTTTCAAATTGCTTCATTTCTAAAAAAGAAAAAATATTTATATTTTATTTAGAGGATTTTTATAAAGAAATAATATTTATAAACAAAAACTTTTTACCTGAATCACATTTCTCGTTTTTATTAACAGTTTCAATTGTATTACAATTAGCTAACAAACTCTTGATTTTATCATTTAAATTTTCTTTTGTGTTAACCGATACTAAAACAGCTTGATTTTGACTGGTAATTGAATCCTAGAAACATAAATATAAATTTTAATACAAAAGTGAAGCATTTTGCAGAATAATGTGCTTGGGCTTGAATTTGGAAAGGTGGATTCGGGATACAAAAGAAAAGACATTTGTTATATAACTCGTTAACTTACTATTATAAATGTATCTGTTTTAATAATATTATTAATGAAGTGCAGTACTGGTTTATTTAAAGGTTCCGATGGTAATCCTTCCAAGTTGATCAAAAAACTTGTCGCACAAGTTTTTAACTAAATATTCAATAATTTACAAGTCAATTTAAATTTGAATCTTTAAAATTAAAAAATTAACAATGTACCTGATGGTCAGACGGCTGTACAATATTACTGATGTGTACGGTTTCTCTTGATCCATAATCAATAAAACAAACATTGTAATTTTCAGAATTGACTGCATCGATAACTTCGGCTCTGTGGAACTTACTTCCTGCATTTTGTCGAGCGGCAATTATTTCACCAATTCTCGGGACTCTATCAATTGGTTTTTCTGTACAATATTAATTAATAATTTTTTTTTTTTTTTTTAATGTGCTATTATTAACAACATTACAGCACAAAAATTATACAAATTGTTAACAATAAATAATATTACTACATTTTATATGATTTTAAAAACAAAACACAGAGACATGCAGAGAAAATTAAATAGAAAATCCAGCTTTAGAAAGGAAGGATATTAGGAGGATGAAAACGGAAGGACAACGGGAGGTTAAAAAGAAGAGAGGGATCAAGCTATGAATATCTGAGAGCACAGAGATGGGAAAGTAAACTTTTTCTGTTGGAGTATAGAGCAGGACAGTCAAGGAGAATATGGTTAAAATTGCAAGGAGTTTCATTAAGGTGGAGGGTACAAGAGGAGTTTAGGAAGAGATGGAAAGCATAAGTGGGAAGGTTATGACCAAAACGAAATCTGGTAAAGGAAACAATGAGATCTAAGGAAGAGTTCCAGAACCAAGAACAACAAGAAATGGTAGGAGAAATCGCTCTATGCCGAACAGCATAAATTCGAGAAAGAGAATAGCATTTGGATTGCCAGGAATCAAATAATTACTTTAAAAAAAATTGGGAGATCAGAGGGAGGAATTCGGAAGGCAGAGGGATAGGTGTAGAGACTGTTTGAGAGCGCTAACTTATGTGTCACTTATAAGTAATTATTATAAAATATAAAAAAATACATTTAAGTTGTTACAAAGTGTAAAAGATATAACTGACTAATACCACCAAGAAAGAGCTATAAACACTAATTACCAAGGCTACATGAAGATGAAAAATTCTCTAAGAATGATTTAAATTTGTCTGTACCGTTATTAATACGTCTTACGCTTATATTTTGAAAATTGTCAAATGATGAGATATAAACAATATCTCCTTTGCTTAAGACTTGTACCGTTTCGGGAGAATCTAAAAAATATATATAACATTAAATAAAAAAAAAACACAATAAATTGCTCATCTTCTTGCTAACTTCTTTCATTTTTCGCCAAAAGTTTTGTAAGATGTTCGTTGATGTTTTCATTAGTGTCGACAGTTTTTAATGTGACAAAGAATAAACTATTAATAGCGTATTGGGTGAATTCCTAAAAATATTAAAAACAGGCATCATTTTTAATAAACTCTAAACTTATAACAATTAACAATACTTACAATGACTAAAGGTACATTGTTTTCACAAAGCATGTTCAAATAGGACAGTCCTCGAGCATTGAGACTTCTAATGTCAACGCCTTGGAGGTTCACTAAATATATGCTGCGTGGTATCTGAATAAAATTCAAAACAACAAAGTCATTGTAAATTGTAAAAATGATTTAATTATATAACAAACAATTTTTTTAATGAAGACGCCAGACATCTATTTTGTATTTTAGGTGTAAAACTAGCCTTTTTTTAACTGTCTTACTTTGATTCATAGTTTTTGTTTTTAAATTAAATTTTTTTTTTAATTAAAAATAGATTTCATAATTATATAAAAAAAAAATTTAAATAAGAGCTTTAAATATTTAAGTCAAATAAATTTATATTCAAAACAACAAACTGTTTAAAAAAATAAGTTATATATGGTTTATAGTTGACCAATAATTATGAAAATAATAGAGGATAACAATAAAAAGTAATAATTTTTTTTATAATAATAATAATAACAATTTCCCAAAGACTCTCCAGTAGTAGCTTAATAAGCGTTGAAGACAACACTACTATAATGATCATGGAGTGTCGAACTGGGGACAATGAGCGGCAAATACACTTACACCTAACTCACTCAACCACTCATCTTCTAGAGTAGCTATATGTATAGGTTAAGAAAATTGTTAGGGCGTTGATTTGATTTTTAATAAAATAAATGATTACCAATAAAGAATCATCATGACTATACTAATAAATATACATAATTGTTTTACCACGAGATCAACATTTCATAAAAATTTCCCTATTCATTACACTTTATAATTAGTAACAAATATTTGTTACTTACTTGCTTGAGATTATTAGGAATTTCGACAATGCTCTTTGTTGATACAACATCTTTAGTGTCAATTTCAAAGAAAATCACTTTAAACTGATTGTTACTAAGTTTTTCTTCGATGACACCTCGATAATATAATCCGTCGATAGACGACTGGATGCCATAGATCTCTCCGATAGTAGGTTGGCTAGCAAGTGGATTAACTAGAAAAGTTTGCTATTAATCTAACAAGTTACTGAAAGATGACAGCGTAATATTTCATAAATTAAAAAACATAAAATACTTACCAGAAGCACAATAGAAAGAGAAATCTTTTAAGAATTTATCCATTTTAGATTTATCGTAACATACTTTGATATAAATATCAGTTTTATTCACAAATGAATTTATAGTGACAACACTTTGATTGGTCAATTCTGGTACTCGAGGAAGAACGATTTCAGAACATTTATTTTGTGTACCTATATTAAATTTAATAATTGTAAAAATCAAATATGCTATAAGTATTTCTTTAACTCACCTGAATTTAAATTAGTATCATCATTGACAATTTCCGTGAGTAAACTATTTATATGATTTACAATATCTTGCTCTTGGTTAATGATTGTTAGCGTAACCGCATTCATATCTTCAAATTCCTAAATCGGTTTAAAACATAAAAGGATTATTGCACTGAGAACTAATATAGTATGACTGATAACACAGAGTGATTTTTTTAACACCCTACACTCATTTTTTCATAAACTAAATGAAATTTTGTAATAACAATTATTACAAAATAATAACAAAATTACAATTATTTTCCGAAAAAACATCCTACAATTTTTACAATTTACTTACGACTCGCATTGTTTCACTAAATAAGCCTTCCATATACTTGTTGACAGAATCGTTTAAAGAAATTGAATTGGCACCTTTGAGTCCGACTAAATGAATTGTTGGCGTCAACTACAATTTTTAAAGAATATATATTATTTATTATGAATTGAGTATACACTTTGATGTTGTTTTTATCATTCAATGATTTAAACATACCTGTTGCAACTCAACAGGGAGTAGTACAATATCGGCAACGTTAACACATTCCTCATACCCAAAATCAACAAACACTATATTATAATTTTTTTCGTTTATCTTTCCAGTTACCTTTGCTCTGTAGAAACATCCGTCGGAGATAGATTTAGCACCAACTATTTCTAGTAAATCTGGTGGTTTACTATCAGATGTATTCCCTAAAAAGGACAGAATAATATTGACAATGATGAACTTAACTAGTAGAAAAATGTCTAATATAAAAATACTCCATAAATATAAGCAAAATATTTAACTACTCATTAACTTAATTAACAGCACAAACCTAATGAACAGTAAGTGTTGACTCTCTCGAGCAGTTTTTCAAACTCTTCATTATTATCATCAACTTTGCGAACATAAATATTATTTAAATCAATATAAGCTGTAATATATACAATATCTCCACTTTTTAACGGATTTGTAACATTGTACTTTTCATTTGTACTCGCAACATTATGTACATCTACATTTACTACATCTAAAAAAAAAAACATAAATTGTGTAAATAAAAAAATACATGCTTTTTCAGATATAACTCTTCAGATATAGTTTTAGGACCAAAAGTCTGAAAGTTATGCTGAACATTGATCTAGTGTAGCTCGAACATTTAAAATTTTCAAGAATCTTTAGTCAAACTTTATATAATTTGTTTACAATTGAATAAGGTTTTTCACTGTAAATCAGAAGTATCATAACTTAAGAATATTCCACTCAAGTTCGCAACTAATTAGACTATTATCCAAAAAATTAAAGTGCTTAATTTTAATATAAAAAAAAAGTTGGAATTTTTTTTCAAGATTTTGATGATTTCTGATACATGAAGAAATTCTTTAAGTAGTTTAAAAGATATCATGGGTTGAAAAAGATATCAAATAATCTTATCTCCGCTCCGCATCAAAGGTAAAATATGAAAAACAAATTTTTAATGTTCTGCATTACTTGGTATATTTTCAGTTTCTGCAATTTCACTTTCATTTATAACATTTTCTTCTTCGTCATTTAATAATTGTCTTAAGTGATCATTGACATTTTCGTTTCCATTTTCAGTAATAAGGACAACATCTTTTAATGGTGTTGAAGGGTCAAAATTCTGCAATCACACATATTAACATTGTCAATCTATTTTATTTATGACATTGGATTTATTAGTAAAAATTTGTTAAAACAACATTCGACATTATTGTTTCTTTGAAAAATAAATTTTGCAAAATAACTTTACTATAATCATGGGTTCATAAGTCTGTAACAAGTTTGCTATGTAATCCTTAGCAGCTGGTGTTAGCTTATTTGATACTATGCCCTTTAAGGTAATTGCACTGACATTTGTAGGTATCTAGAAGAAATTTATTTAAATTATAAACTTAAAACATTGGCACACTAAATTTGTTTTTTACTATAACATTTACCATTAATTCAGGTGGTAAATCAACAATGTTTGATTTGTGTACTGTATCTTTATCACCGTAGTCAATAAAACGAATCAAATAATTTTCATTATCGACTTGTTTTAATACTGTTCCTCTATAAAAACTGCCGTCGAGGGGTGATTTGGCTCCTACCATTTCATCAACTACCAAATTCCGTTGAACTGGTTCACCTTTAACCGTTCACCAGTAATTAACGTTAATACATTTTATATATGGTTTGTTGTTTAGGGCTTGTGACTTATTTTAACAACGCACAACATTCTTTGTCCAAAAATTAAAAAAATTACTAACCGGTTGAACAATGTAAATTCACGTTTTCCAACAACAAATTAAATTCTTCATTATCATCTTCGACTTTCCGAACATATATATCAGACAAATCCACAAAAGCTGCCATATAAACCACACTTCCTGGGCTCAAGACAACTTTTTCATCATCATATGCTAATGATGTTACCAAAGTATCTAAGCATTAATGAATAACTAAAAATTTGTTAATCCATAATTTTGAAAAAATTAAAAACTGACCTTGTGTTGTTAAGTTCTCTGCAACAATTTCATTTGCTCCATTTACCTGATTATCAGCTTCACAAATTAAATTATTTAAATAATCATTGACTATTGTGTTATCTAACGTCTTAAACACTACTTTGTTTGTATCTATAGATTCCTACAATATAATAATTATTTAGAAATTAATTATTAATTTATTTATATAAAATAGCAATCTAAGTAAAAATACTTACAACAACTAATTCACTTTCACACAAGAAAGTCATATAATCTTTGGCTGCACCTTTTAATGTACATGAAGGAACATCTTTCAGAGTGACATGACAAATGTTGGAAGGAACCTAATAAAAATGTTAAGAGTCAATTGAGTAAATTACCTAATATATAAATAAATAAATAATTTAAAAGATTTAAAAAAATTATATTAATGCAGTATATATATATTTTTAAATAAACTAAGCAAACTAGTGACCATATGGAGTTTGAGTCTAGTATAATTACGAACAACAATTTTATAAATTTGTTAATTTTAACTAAGTTTCTAATAATATAATTTTTTTTTTTAATGATTAATCTTAAACTAAATATATTATTTGTATGCTTCAAAAAAAATTAATTTTTAAAACTGAAAATGACAAAATTGTTAGCCACTATCCTAGTAGTGTTAAAATATGCCAAAATTATCAATTTTATTTCTACAAACATTTTGAGAACATACAATTTGGGTTCATACATTTGTTTTCAAAAATAAATATTTTAGTACAATACGCTCAAATGGGGCCTTGGAAAGCACTAGGAGTACAATTTTACTACTTTAACAATATATTATAATTGAAAAAAAATTGTTTGCTAATAATGTGGACGATTACAGGCCTTTTACAGGCTTTCTACATTTTTGTTATTTTAAGGGGCCACCCTTTTGCAAAACCCTAATTCAGCTAATGTTTATTATTATTAAGAACAGTGATAAAAAAAATTGTCAGTTCCTACTTTATTTTTTTAATAAAAGTTTTAACAAATTTCTATCTCAGGTTGTTGAGAAAAAATCTACATGCCATAGGTATGTACACACACGTTAGTGTCCGTCTTTCAGTCTAATAAACCTTATGGTCAAAAGTCCAAAATCACGCCGAAAATTTAATTAACAATTTTCCTGTAATCGAACAATACAAAAATAAGATGAATTTTGTACCTGTTTTAAATCATCAGATATACCAACAATATCTTCGGAATTTACACATTCTTCATTTCCATAATCTATGTATTGTACTTTATAACTGTTTTCACTGGTTTTGTTAATAATCTTAGCTCTATAAAAATTCTCATCCAGTGTAGATCGCACTCCAAAAACATCTCCTATCTCAAGGTATCCCACCACAGGTGCTCCTTCTGTAACCAAATATTTATTAAATATTACTATGTACACTGTATGATAGCCATACATAAGTAAGATTATAGATACCCAAATACTAACCTGTTAAACAAAAAATATTGACTTTATCAATAAATTCTAAGAACTCATCAGATTCATCTTCAGCTTTACGTACATAAATATGTTGTAAGTCAATAAATGCCGTGATATAAACTTTGGCTCCTTTATTTAAAGCCACGCTTTTAACATTATCGTTGATACACATTTTTTCAATATTTTCTAAAAAAAAATAGTAATGTATTTTTTTTTTTAAACTTAACAGGCTTCTCCACAAAGAGTGTTTTAACAATATATATATTCGTGATGGGTGACAAGTCCGCACTGGAAAAGGAATGCAGAAAGGAAAGCGGCTCCATTTCACAGGACGATTATTCACCCGGCAAATTAAGCACCAGTAACCGAGTGTCTAGAGTTACCGGTTCTTTTATTATTAAAATTAAAGTTAAATAACAATCAATTATTGTATCACTATTAATTAATTTAAAAAAATAAAGTAAACTTAAAAAAAGAACACACCATCACATGACATATTCAAACATTAAACTTTCTAAATTACTTGGTATATTATCAATTTCTGCAACTTTGCTTTCAATTATAACATTTTCTTCATTTTCGTCATTTAATAATTGTCTTAAGTGATCATTGACATTTTCGTTTCCATTTTCAGTAATAAGGACAACATCTTTTAATGGTGTTGAAGGGTCGAAGTTCTGCAATCACACATAATAGCTCCGTCAATATATTTTAGTTATGATATTATTAAAACAATGTGTGACATTGTTTCTTTAAAAAAATAATTTACAAAAAAACTTTACTATAATCATGGGTTCATAAGTCTGTAACAAGTTTGCTATGTAATCCTTAGCAGCTGGTGTTAGCTTATTTGATACTATGCCCTTTAAGGTAATTGCACTGACATTTGTAGGTACCTAAAAGCAATTTATATAAATTATATACTAAAACATTGTCACATTTAATTTGTTTTTTACTATAACATTTACCATTAATTCAGGTGGTAAATCAACAATGTTTGATTTGTGTACTGTATCTTTATCACCGTAGTCAATAAAACGAATCAAATAATTTTCATTATCGACTTGTTTTAATACTGTTCCTCTATAAAAACTGCCGTCGAGGGGTGATTTGGCTCCTACCATTTCATCAACTACCAAATTCCTTTGAATTGGTTCAGCTATAATAAAGTAGTTCTAGTTAATACTAATTTACATTCCTAATAACTATCTGACATCACATTATATGGCTGTGTGTGTTAAGCAGTGACGCTAAATTGACCAAGTTAATTTTAATGCAGTTTTTTTTGAGAATCCATCACACATTTTGGAACCTGGGTTCAAACCCTTCCGGTTATAGACTATAAAAAAAGGTTCTTTCCTTCTATCCAACTCAACTTAGTTTAAATTTGTATGTTGCTCGGTTATATATGTATTAATCAAATTGTTAGTATTGTAATAATAATAAGTAGTTTAAATGTAATGTTTTTTTTTGTAATACCAAAGGTTCTGAGAATAACATACACAATTGTGATACTGCCGTTTTTGTTAAGAAAAAAAATTGTTTTAACAAATTGAATTTCTGCACTCGATGTTGCAGGTATTGATTTACATATATTTAAAATATAATAAATTAATTATTAACCTGTTGAACAATATACGTCTACTTCTCCCAAAAAAAAATTGAATTCGTCGTTGTCGTCTTCAAGCTTTCGCACAAAAATTTCCATTAAATTAACAAAAGATGACATATAGACCAGACTTCCTGGACTCAATAGTGTACTTTTATCATTACCATTTGTCAATTTTACTTGAGTATCTAAGAATAAATTAAATATATATTTAGTAATTCTCAATCAAAAAATAATAATAATAAATATTTTTCTAACCTGTGTTTGCTGTGTCCACACATGTATGAGTATTTAAAATATTCTGATGTGGAATTTTTAATAAAGATGTCACAGAATGGTACGGAGTAAACTCGTTTGTACTAGTAGTCTCCTCAACAGATTGCTAGTGCAAATAAATAAACCAACTATTATCTAATACCCACATATATATATATATATATATATATATATATATATTATATAATCCTGATACAAGCAGTGATGGGAATGAAATCCAAATTTCTGATCTATCCGGATTTAGTTTTTTTATTCATTTAAAGTTATAAAACTACTGCTACATAACGTTTATTAAGTTTATCTAAAACAATGATTTTTATTTTTTACTTAAAATATCAAAAAAAAAAAAGGTTGACATTAATCCATGGGCAGTAAACTGCTGTATCGCATAAATCTTCATTACAAAAAAATCATCAAACTAATATGCTTAGCAGAATATTTTTTTAAACCCAACATTATTAAAAAACATCTTTAAAAAAAAAATCTCATAAACTTACAATTTTATTTGCTTTGGTATATTAGACAAAAGTATTACTATAATAACCACAAAATAATTGTAACTTACTAAAAGTTCTTCTATATGTCCATTAACATCTTGATTGTTGTTGATTATAGTCAACGAGACTGAATCCAACCCAAATGTATCGTTATCATTAAATTCCTTAAAAATAATTAAAATATTTTTACATAGATTAATATTTAAAATAATTATATATTTACACACTTTAATGCTTACAAGTATCATTGTTGTAGAGTTATCAAACAAAGATTTAATGTATTGCTGAGCTTCTGGTGTCAACGGCTTCCGAGTTATGTCTTTTAATCCTATTAAACACACGGACGGTGGAATCTAAAGAAAATAAAATAAAAATATATTTAATTTAAACATTTTTATTTTGTTTTATATTAATGTACATTACAAAATTGTTTAATAATAATCACATAAGAAGAAATGTGTAGATTTTAAAAAGTATTTTTCTCAATTTTGAAGGCAAAAAAAAAGTTCAATAGGAAATTAATACCTCTTTTAAATTTTGCGGTAGCACAATGACCGTATTAGTACTTATTGTTAGTCCGGAATCAATTAAGTATAACACATAATTTTGCTCGTTTTCATATCCCAGTATATCGACGATTTTCCCTCTGTAAAATTTGTCTGAATATTTCACTCCAACAATCTCTTCTAATCCAAGTGTATTTCCAATGTACGGATCTGAAATAAAAAAATTCATAGACTATTCAATATATTATGTATATTTAAAGATACAATTCAATTAAGTATATATTACCATTTTTAGAGCAATAAGCTTCTACTTCTTTGAATATTCTTACAAATTTATCAATACTTCTAACAAAGACATGCCTAGAATCGTAACTCTCCGATTTAGCCATAATCACAGTACAACCGTTCTTAAATGTCATTGAATTATCGTTTGTATCATTCACAATTAGCATAGGATCCCATTTTTTAACGATAAAATCTACCATAACATTTCCTTCGTAGGACAAAAACATTTTTTTATAGACCTCTGAATCAGACGTAATTCTGAATGACTGAAAATATGCTACGTAGTCTTGATAATTCTGCAAATTGAAAAAAAAATCAACATTATTGTAATGGAATAATACATTAGATGTATCAATTTAATTCATGTTATGTTAAAACATAGGGCTATTTTAACTGTAAATTTAAACATATCAAATCATAATTCTTACTTCCATAAGATGTCGTAAAATTCCAGGTGGACTAATACACCTCACTTCACCTTGAAATGTAATTGCTGGTATATTTTTATATTTATCTGGAATTTCTTTGAGCTTTTTTGTTTTAGTTACTTCACCAGTATCAATGAGTGCAACGATAGCTTGTCCTTGAGATATCGACAACACATAACATCGCACCCATTTTTTGGTATTCGGATGTAGACAACTGAACAGTAAACCAGGTTCTACATTCGAATCGCTGTTACACATACATAATTAAGGTAGTTAAGATCAAATAATTTTTGTTTTTACTATTATTATTTAGTTTAGGAAACTCAAGTATTTTTAAAAATAAATTTAAAGAAAAATTGTGCTACTGAATAACGTAAAACTGATATTCCAGATATTTACAACTGAAGTTAAGACAAATAAAAACCTTTTCTTCTATTATTCTAATGACTATTTTACTTTAACATACTCTGATTTTTTTTATTTAATTCAATAAGTAGGTAGATACCCTTTTTAAAAGTCAATATATTTTAAAACCTACCCCAACCATTTTGATATTTTTAGTGTTGTACATTTTGTTAAGAAATTATAGAAACATTTCTAATGATAAAAGTGAACAACTAGAATTATTTTAATAAACACTAATACTTACAATGGAATGCAATTTTCTTTAATTAAATCTATATTGAAACTTTTGTCGTTGATTTTTTCATATTCTTCAAATATAACATGAAAAATAAATCTATTTTTATTTCTCACTATATTGGACACTTTACCAACTACATCATTCTTTAGAAAATTTAAAGTTTCGTTAAGTAACGGAAATGTTGGTCTAAAAAAATATATACATGAATGTTTTAAGTAAATATTGTTAATATAGTAATAATTGCTGTATTATAAAAAATGTGCAAATTTAACTAAATAAAATTATCTGTAATTACCTTTCCATTTCGCTGGTCTATGAAAAAGATTAAATCACTTATAATTAAATTAAGTTGACTGAAACAAAAATATACATTTTTTTAATAGAATTTGTACATATGATAATAAAATTTGATGGGTAAACAAAATCAGCTGAAAACTATAGAAAAAAAATTGTTGTGTTATGAAGTTTACGAATAGTTAAAATGTACAAGTACATCTTTAATTACATACTTCTGATAGTTTAGATCTATGTCTACTATGTGCTAACAGAATCAACATGTTATAATTTATAAAGTAAAAGTATTTTTTATTTTTCTAGATGCACTAGCTTTGATTGAACTGTAGTATTTAAAGTCTAGTAACATGTTTATTATTTAACTTTAACTATAATTAGTGGTTCGGTTTGAATAATGTGCTACATTATTTTTTTACATTTGTTTTGGTGGCGGAATATTAAGCGATGAACCAATCTAAACCAGTTTTAAAATTCAAAACACTTTCCAGAATTTACTAATTGCACATTAACATTGTGAAATAAGTGTGGAAACCAATTGGTGAATTTTTTTCTTTTTTACTATAAAATGTACAGATTGGTTTTTAGCACGTCATTCAGCCCAAACCTTCATTTGGCCCTGTAAAACTATTTTTAAACTACAATTAAAAGAAAATTATATCCAATTGCATGGCAAAAAACTTGACTATGCAGAATGCATTTTACTCGCTTCATAATGGAATGATTATAAACACATCTATAATAAAATCGTAAGAAGATGAAATTTTGAAATATATGAACCTAATACCGGATATGACATTCCCTCCAAAATATCATCTTTCGATTTCATAATAGATGTTTTAGATAGATATTAAATTTATCGAGTAAAACGTAATCTGCCTAAGTATGTTTTCAAGCTTACGAAAATAAAATGTGACAACCTCTTAGGAAAATTACTAAGTCATATTATTATTATTATTGACTCACATGAAAGCATTAAAGGGTCATAAAATAAAACGTAACTAAAGTACTGCACAGCGACAAACGCGTTTATCTTATTCAATTTTATCCAAATTGAATACAGAAATATAAGCAAAAAGCTATGGAAAAAACTCAAAATCGAGGGAATGCGGAATGTCGAATTGTTACAATACTAAGTTGAAAGTACAAACTACAAAGAAAGAAAACACTGATTTCGGCCAAAAATGGACAATACATAACAACAATCTGAAAAGCTAACCTCAAAATCGAATAGCCAATGACGGAAGAGCCGTGCAGAACGCGACGCCGGTATTACTAATTTACTATACTCCGTTCCAAATTAGAATAATACCGTATACGTTATGAACATTATGACATAAAAATAATAATTTATCGATTGATTTAATGTATAATAATTTATTCAACAGTCACGTCTTGTGGAAACACTGGCAACATCATGATAACGATAAATTCAAGATAGAATACTTGCTAGTTTTATGGGTAATTTGAAAAGGATTAGCCTAGCCGATCTTTAACAACAATAATAATTATGCTCTGCCTCTGTTCAAACTAAACGCGTCATTTGACTCATTCCCGCCATATTATCTTTTAAAACTGACTAGTATATTGTACAGCTTCGTAATATGTCTTTGATATGCGTTTGACGTATCTTTGATTATAAATATTATATAAATTAAATGTTTATAATCAATGGTAATGTATTATTTTACTAAACCAACATATTATTATGCGCTGCAAGATGCGTAGACAAGTACTTTTAATATACTTTTGTACGTTGCGGTATATTATAAATAATTGCCTACAATTACATATATAATACAGATTTATATTTTAAGCGTGGCTCGTAAATTAAATTAACTATATTTAATAAATGTGACAAGTATACGAAAATGAACAGAATGTAACATTAATTATACAGTCATGCAAGTAATTGCAATAAGTTGCATCTTCTACAATATAATTTAAAGGTTGTGTGAATATTGTTTTTTTATTCGATACGTCGAATGATTTGACATCATATCAATATTAATATTTCCTTGTAATTGACTTATCATACGACACATACCATAATATTATCGACTTCTAAGTACTTTGTACTTCCGCAGTAGTAGTTAGTACCTATTGGCTATTGCTCGTCGATAAACTGCAGTCTGTACTTGGCAATTGGCGTCACCAGTGGTACCGGCGAATAACGCAGAAATAAATATTAAATATTAGCACTTGCTTAAATAGATTAATTTATAAAGTGAAAACTGGACAATAAATTGTTGATTCATATTTCATTCAATGATAACTACATAACGATAATGCAATTTTGAATTTAATGATAACAAGTGGGTTTACAGACCTTTAAAATGATAACCTAACCCAACCGCCAAATTACCAACTTGAGCACATAATACAAATCCTGACATCCATTTTTACTTATTACAAACACTTTTAAGTTTTATCTAGACGTGGTTTGTAAACTAAACAAACTCGTTTTTAAGGAACAGGGAAACACACTAAAAGGAATATATTCAATTCGGGTCAGCGGGGAAACATTGCCGATAAATCTATAATTTACCTAGATTATGAAGTATTGTTTATAATCGTGGCTACTACTTCCCTACAAGCAATCAAACTTGTATAACAAAAAATCAAAGAAAAAAACACATAATTGCAAGGCTATAACTTCTCAACATTGCATCGAAGCTAATACGTATTTTATTACATTTAACTTACATGGCCACAAAATAATTACAAGTATTTCATCAAAATTGTATTTTAAAACATAATATAATTGGTAACTAGTCATGGGTTATATGCTGTTTGAAATAACATAATAACCTATCTACATAATTTTGTTTTAATAATATGCACAGGGAATAATACTATCATACACTGATCCAATTTGCCAAAGCAGACTTTATTCCGTCTGCAAAATCTGTATGAGTTCCGATTCCTAATTGAGATATACGTGATACATCTAAACATGTATTGTACGGTCGCTGTGCTCCAGGCTGTCCAACAACCGGAACAACTCGTTCTAGACTTAATCCAAAAGTATTAGCCATCTTAACGACCATATCGTACTTGGTTAGCACCTCATTACCACACCAGTGAAAAATTCCATTAAGATCTGGACTCTAAATTTATAAAAAAAAAAAAAAAAAGGTAATAGTTTTTTAAATATAATTTTATTTATAAATTGCGTACTTACTGAAAAAAGTTTTTTCTCAACAAGCTTAAAAACTATTTGTGCTATGTCGTTTACACTGGATGGATTACGCAGTTCATAGTTCGATACCTGAAAAGTTTCTTTTTCTTGTTGACATTTCTTTAAGCCTTTGAACAAAACCGTAACCGCACTCTCTTCTAAAGTTTCGACTGGGCCATAAATTACTGGAATGCGAAAAACTATATTTCCTATAATAAACCATAACAAAATATTAAACAAGTAATTACCTACTTGTAAGTTTGAATTGTAAAAATATGTTGAATTGTTACTTGGATTAGCTTCTAAAACTTCCTTTTCTCCTAAAAGTTTCAGTCTGCCATACTCGTTAATAGGTGTTGGTTTATCGGTTTCTTTGTAAGGACTACTTTTACCATCAAATACGTAGTCTGTACTGATGTACAACAATGGCACATTAAGGCGGTCTAAAAAAAAATATAAAACAGTAAAGATATTAAATTTTGTTGTACTATAACATATTTTTGTTCACAAGAAATGTTTAAAAAGAAAAACTAGCTCACACTAATTAAGAACATAGGGCTCAGAACTTGATGCATTTGCATTTTTTTTTTCCTCTTACCTAACGCTTGTATTTACGGAAATTAGTTTAATATTACGCAAAATACTGAACATTCCATATTTCCGAAAAATCGCCATATTAATTTTTAATAAACTAATTAATTAGTTTCAATTATATAAGAGGTACTTAGAAAAGAATAATTTATTGGCTAAGCGATCATGTAGTATAACACAATTTCTGATGTTGGTAAAAGTATTTAAATCCTGTTCACCGCTAAGGTAAGGTTCACCTTTTTACCGATGAAACAAAAGCGTATATTTATATGAGTCCACTAAAAAGAGGTAGCAATTACATATTGTTTTTACACAAATTAATTAATAGGTACTTGCTTGCTTCATGGGCTAAATGAGCAGTTGCGTCTACATTGAGGTCGTAAGCCGCCTGAGGGTCACGTTCCACTCTGTCTGGATAACGTTCGGCTGCGCAATGAACAATCACGTCAGGTTGGGTAGCATTCAGAAAATCTGTTACAGACGATTTATCCAATAAATTCAATTTGGTTAAACCGGAGCCAACTCTAGTAATAAAAAGTAAAAACAAATTTTAACAAAAAATTCAAACAATATCTCTAATTAATATGAATTAATTATCAACAATTGTACCTATTATGTGCGATCCCGCAAACAGTCCAATCGGTTTCTTTAGTAAAACGTTGATAAATAGCCCTACCCAAAAGTCCTGAAGCACCGGTTAAGAAAACTTTCATTTTTTGAAATTTCAGTTAATTCTCCGTTGAACGACTTTGACCACTATTGGCAAATGCCAAATAATATAACATACAACGTTCGGACCATTATTATGTAAAACTAGTAATTTTATAATCATTGATATTGAGCAAAAATCAGAATACATAATATGAATGCAACAAGTAGGTAAATAAGTTAAAATACCAATGGTGCCAATTATAATACAATGATAAGAAAGAAACGCCTTGAATGGCGCGTAATCGGCGATTTGTGCACCGAGATTTAAATATTATCCACTTTAAGAAACGAGTCTTGGAACGAATTACAATATTTTTTTTACGTGAATGTAAATAAATTCCTATTTTTTAGGAATAGAAACGAAAAAAATTGTTTTTTCTTATAGCTAAATGTTTGTTAATTGTTATTTTACTTATTTATTCAACAGTTATAAGTATTGTAGTAACTAATTTGTACCTTTTTAGTACTCTTCAGTATAATTCTGAATTACAGCTTAAATGTTTGTTTTTATTTTAAATACCTACATTAGACTTTCACGTCAAGCTTATTCTTCGAGTTAGAAATAGCTAAAAACCCTTAAATATATGCTACCCCTAACCTAACCGCTGCCATGACAGCAGCGGTCGATATTAATTTTAAATTGCATTAAAAATGAATAAATTGTAAAACTACTATATAGTCATTGTTTAATGATCTAGAGTCGTGACTTGATACTACTTAAAAGGCCGTTTTGCATAATTTAATTGTATCATAAATGTACGATTTAATTTAAATCAGCCTAGTGTAACCAGAAGAATTTGTATTTATGCTTTAACTTTTAGTTAAAAAAACACTAAAACCAAAGATGTAGACAATTTATAAAAAACTGAAGATGGAAGATGAAAGGCTTCTAAAACGTTGGAAAAGCCAATATGGAAATTTAGGCGAGTGTGACCAAAAACTTGTAAATAATTCAAATTGTTCCATGGTTTTGATTTTTTTATTATTTTCGTAAAATTACTTAGCGATGCCTCACCCTACAAAGATCTCCACTTCATCTTAGGGTATTTTGGTGTAGCAAAATAATAACTTTTGTTACACCCTAATTATATCACTGCTTAAATAGTGTAATATTTTTAAGTGTATTAATGCAACAACAGAAAGTTTGACACATATGCTTGAAACATTTATGAATTAAGACAATTATTAACTGTAAAAATTTTTTTATTAAAGGTATTTAAAATTAATTTGATAACATCCAATTAATGATTCCATGTAGCATATTAGTTTTTAAAACGTTTTGTTACATATAAAATCTTATACTAATTTATAAGAAGTAATTCTAATTTCTAATTTATTAGAAAAGTATAGGTTTATGATGAGATATTATCCTTGAATTTCATAATATAAAAAAAACCTATGAATAATAAAAATAAATATTACTATAAAATAAATAATACATTTTTATAACACTTATACTTCTTGTAGAAAATAGTTAATAATTAATATAAGTTAAACATAATCAATTTCTATAAGTGTTAAGGTAAAATAAACATATCTTAGTATTTCAATGGAATTAGACTTGTTGAGGCTATTATTATATTACTATTATAATTGTACATATAATTTGGTTACAATTTTGGTATTATGCCATTGTTTTTTTTTTATATCTAACATCATTAGGTACATCGGCAGACGGCACATATGAAAACCTGTAAAATAATAATAGGTTTATTATGAACTTCATATAGAACATAATGATTTTAATTTATACTATTTAGAATATTTTATGAATCAAACATTTTTTTATATGCTTTTTCTTTTAATAATACTATTGTAGATAAACCAGGGCAATTTTTATTTCAATAAAGAAGTTGTTAGAAAATAAAATTATATTTTAGTGATTGATCAAAAATAATCTATTATTATTAATAATAGATTATTAATAATAATCTATCAATATTAGAAACTTATTTTTTCTTATTAATATTTTGTACATTACTAATAGTTACAAAAAAAAAACATTGTATTTGTTTGATTTAATTATTTTTGAGTTTTTTTTTAAATAATAGTCTTTTCATTTTAATTATTATTATTTCAATTAAAATTTAATTAAAACTTATTTGGGTTAGTAATTAAAAATATATTTAAATACATTTTTATTAGCTTTTTGTTATTTTCAATTGTTCAGATAAAAATTTATTTGAGGTTATTACTTGAATCTATTTAAAAAAATGAATTTATTATTATACAGTCAAATTAAAAAATAATTAGTTTTAATAACTATTTAAATTTTTATTTTAATAATGCTCTGGCAATTATGATCAAATCTATTTTCATACTATACATTTTATACAAGTTAGTCCTACAAATGTCCTTAATATTACCTAAACCTGTAGTTAATACTGAAAATAAACGGTTATAAGCCGTAGTGAAATAATGTCAACAAAAAAAAACCCGTTATTTCTAAGGTATGCCTGCATTGTTAATGCTATCGAAAATTAGGTTATTTGCTTATTAATTAGAACTGTGTATGGACGACAAAATCAATTGACGCCAACAGAGAAAACTATGTTATAAAAGAGATTGATGAACCCTTAAAAAAATTGTTGAAGGGCATACATTACGAATTTCAATCATATCGGATAACAAACTGAGTCACGTGGTCAAATCAAAGCAGCTTATAAATTGTTAAAAAATAACGGATTAAAAAAATAATTAAAAAAACTCATGCATTGACATTGGTGACAAGTAGAAATATGAAAAACTGTAAGTATTAATTAGATTAGGCAAATTAGATCACGGCGGTGGGTATATAAATAAAAAAAAACTTGTAAAAAGTACAAGGATACATTTTATTTTTAATATATATGTTAAGAAATACCTACATCACAAAAATCATCTATAGATTTTAACTCAACGCTTCCTGATAATTTTAATTTACCTCAAATATAACAGTGTCGTCTTTAATATAACCATTAAATAAGTCTTTCCAAGAAATTATGGAATTATAGCCAGGACTTATCCTCTTTGGATTAAACAAACTTTGAAATTTTCTTTCAATGTTTAAAGTACCCTCTTTTTGAGATATCAAACGGAGGACAACATTTGCATTAACACTCCAAAACTTATCATCAGAATCAGCATTACACTAATAAAAACAAATAAATATTGAAATTACAATAGAAAATATGTATATATACTATTCTTAAACAATCAAATTTAATATAAGCCATACCTGTAGGAATAAACCAACCGAATCATTCTCTGTACACTTTACCATAATTTTCCAAGAAAAATTACCGACATAACAGGATGGGGAAAGTCTATTTTTTTTTGATTTGATAAAGTTGTTAACAACATAGCGGAAAACAGCTTGTGTAGGTTGTAGATGATCTAAAAAAAATTTAGTATATAACAAGAATAACAAAGAAAAAAAAACAATAATATCTGTAAACTTTTTGCTAGAAATGAATATGACTATACTTATAATACATCAGTTATAATGTTTAAATAATGAATTACACTTGTCAATTTTGCCAATAATTGCTTATATTTCGCCATTTAATAAATATAGCCACAACTAAAAATCTTAAATCTGTAACCGCTTTAAACCATTTTTGTTGAATTTACCTTTCTTGTCACACTGTCCTTGACTGCTTGATCCTTTATTTTCATTATTATTTAATTGCATGTCCACTTGAAGGGTTTTTTGTTTTATCGCCTGACAAGAGTAAACAATCTTCTCCAAAGGGAGGTCTTCTTTGAGGAGCTGTGACTGAAGGTCTTTATCAGCTATTCCAAGAATAATTTGTGCTTTTAATAGCTTGTCCTCACATTTCCCAAAGTTACAAAATTTTATCAATTCACTCAAATTTGCATAAAATGTATTAAAATCTTCATTTTGAGCTTGTTTGCGAGTAAAAAATGTAAAGAGTTTCTTTAATTCGTTTTTTTGAATTTCACAATATGCTTCCAATGCATCTAAAATGTCAAAAACTGACTCTTCTTTGATTTTTAAACTATTGTATATTTTAAGCCCTTCGACTCCCAGTAGATTGAGTAATATAGCCACTTGCGTTTCAGGACTTTTCAATTTGCACTCAGTAGCCTTGAAGTAAATAAGAAACTCCTGTTTGAAAGCTTTGAAGTTTTCAGCAAGATTGCCAGATATTTTTAATACGGCGGGCTTATTTAAATACATAATAATAGTTTATTAGAAAGTATAAGCCACTATATAATTTTAGCTATGTTTTAACCACTACTGTAGACATTAATTTATTGTAGTCACCATTTAACAATTATTTTGAATACGAAGTTAGATCTCTCAGCCATAAATGATAAGAAAAAAGTGTCATGGCGAATGGTAATAATAAATAATAATATGTAACACCATATTTAATACCTATTTATCAAAAAAAAATATTACCGCCATCATGGCGAGGGCCCTGAAAATTTACACAATTTTTCATCATGAAATACGACACACTTTTTTAAAAATGGTATAATTACATCCAAACTTGTACGAGATGATATTCTTTAAATATAGTACTATTTAGGTACAGTGAAACACTAACAAAATATCATCAATACTGTCCCTCAGAAAGTCCTTCGTGTAAACAAATAAATATAGGGTTATAATATTGAAATAGTTGCGAATTTAATTTATTTAATTACAAGAAACTGAAATGTTTAAATGAAAACCGGCTTCCTACATAACACAGTAGTAGCCAAAAAACTCGAATCTCTTTACAGAATTGAAATTGGACCACATCCTATGTAGTCAAAATGTCTGAATTTTTGGTCTAACTTAATGGCTTTAACTCATAGAAAAAATGATTTAAATTAAAAAGAATACCTTGAAGCTTTATACAAATTAACCGGTAAATTAGTTGACATGGTCGAAATATATTAAAACCACTAATTTCTTAAATATTGCCTATACCAAACTCCTTATAAGCAGACCGCATGCAATCCCCTTAAATACAAGCACTTAAAAAAGTAAAAAAATGTCGGAATTAAAATATAAACTGTGAAAGTTTGACTAATAGTACATTTTAAATATATAAAAACAAATTGTCTACGATTATTATTTAGTCAGTAATAGAGAATATGCATACGGATTTTTTGAAAAATTTACTCCATAAAAATAGGCGTAGTGGCGTCCCTATATATCATTATTAGCGATACGATTAGTATTTATTCAAATTCCAGTAACAGCAAAGAATTCGTTTAAAATAACTAATGCTAATTCTAAAGCCTGGCTAAAAACTTTTTGTAATCAAATTATGATTTATATAATATCACTATTATAGGTTATATTTTATAGAACTATTTATTATAGGTTTTTATTATTATTTATAATGTAATCAATAAAAGAGTAATAATGATATTATCTACTGTTTTTTTATGATATACTTGATGAATTATTAAAAATGCAAAACAAACCCACAAATTGAATGTGCACCGGGGCCCATCTATTTATAACTACAGCAGTAGATAACTATTTATGAAAAAAACAATTATACAGAGTTATTTAAATACTATAATTATTTATATTTACTAAATTACCTTTGATGTCATAAATCCACACAAAAAAAAAATTAAAATAGTTGCATATGAGTTTTGTATCGGAACGTGGTGTGCTAGATACGTATTGAAATAAGTATCTGACTAGATTAGAGTTATAATATCATTACTGAATGTTGTTAGTAGCCACTGCTTATTATAATTCGAGGTACATATGTAACACAATACCTTTTGAGGGTCCTAATATCTGAACTAGGGGTGCTAGCACACCCAGCTCGCCCCCTCCCCCAAAATTACACTTATAATGTTATAATATAACATAATATTACTATGTTTAAATATGGCATATTAATTGTATCAAAATGACGGTTATAGAAAAACGGCTACATTCTTAGCCACCATACAAAATTAGGACTATAACTATGATCATTGATTTTAGAATATATATTCTAAAATCAATGCTACGATTAATGTAACTAGACTCAGTATCAATGAGATTACCGGCATACAGAGTATGTCTGTAATTCGAATTGTTTGTTGTAATGATTACACTACAAATTTAATTTTACCATAATAAGTTATTTTTATTTTTCATAGATAAGCGTACAAACTAAATCCATTTATTACATATTCAATTTTATAAAAAATATAATTTCTTTAATAACACCCAAAAAAAAAAAAAATAATAACATACTGATTATGCAAAATATAAATATTGGCAACACATATAAATTTAAAAATATTTGATTACGGTACAATATCATTCTAAAACATAATAATTAAGTAATGACCTTACCTGATTGATAATAAAAATAAAAAATCTAAATAAAATGAATGAATGTCATGAATATTTACTTTATAATATTAATAAACGACAAAAAAATATAGATTAAAGCATTTTTCTAATCATGTAGTTCAAAATTCCACCGTTTTTGTGATACAAAATGTCTACTTCTGTGTCGAAACGTAAGATAGCATTAAACGACACACCAGTATTTGTCTAAAAAATAAAATAAATTGTATTAACTACAAGTGGAATTAATTCAATATCGTAAGGTAAAAAAAAAATATCAAAATGCTTACTTTTACTTGAATCTCTTGCAATGGTTTGCAATCTTGTGGAATGTCAATGTCGTAAACTTCTTGACCAGTTAATTTTAGAGTTTCGGCGTTTTCACCGGTACGGAACTGCAACGGAATGATTCCCATACCGACTAAGTTTGAACGATGAATGCGTTCGTAAGACTCAGCAATAACAGCTTTAATACCCTAAGGATAATAGAAAAAAGGCCTAAGTTTTTTTTCAACATACTAATAATATGTAAAACATTAGTACATACAAGCAAAAATGGTCCTTTGGCTGCCCAATCTCTGGACGAGCCCGATCCATAGTCCTTGCCAACGATAGCGATCAGCGATCGGTTTTCTTGGGCATAAAGTTGGGCAGCATCAAAAACGTCGAGCTAGGCAAAAAAATTTGGTTAAAAATAAACAATGTGGTTAATTTTTAAAAATATTCTCATTAATTAATAAACCTCTTGTCCACTTGGAATGTGCAAAGTTTTCGGTCCAGTACTCTTGACTAATTTGTTTACGATTCGTATGTTTGCAAACGTTCCCCTAGCCATGATGTCATCGTTTCCTCGCCTTGAACCGTACGAGTTGAAGTCTTTAGGTGTGATGCTAAAAAAAATAAATGATTATTATTCATAATTATAACAATTACAAATTGATAAATTTTGTTTTTTATTACTTTTTTGAAGCCAAATAACGAGCTGCAGGACTATTTCTGGCAATACTTCCCGCAGGACTTATGTGATCAGTTGTTACTGAATCGCCAAGGTAAAGCAATACATGTGCATTTTTCACTGATTTAACACCAGGTAAGGTCTAAACAATATAGAAAAATATAGAAATATTATGTGTGTGCTTTGTAAATATTACAAATTGATAAAATCTTGATTTAATATTTTTAAGTTCATTTTTTTTTCAAGTAAGATTATTGTCAATAGTGATAAGTCAAGAGTTTACGAACATATTTTGGTTGGACAAATGGTTACAATGTAAATAATTAAAAACAATAACATTTTTTATATGAAAATGTATACATCCAAAAAGGTTTTTCCTTGAAAACTTAAGAAATCTGAGTTACTACAACAAAATGATAATTTGGTTAGATTTTTGACGAAATAAACTGTAAGTCATGTTGTCACTCACAAATAAACACTTAATGCAAAACTGAGGATGGTTAGAAATGTTAGATATTTAAATATAAATATTAATACAATTTTTAAACAATCTTTTGATTTTAATATTTTTTCAAAAACAAAATAAGTGCCGACCTTTAGAATTTAAAAAAAAATTCTAAAATATATGTAATTCATAAACTTATTTAAGTTGTTAATAACCTGTTGAAATGTTTAACTGGTCGATTAAAAAAACTATAATATTGTGAAAAAGTTTAACAAAAATATTTTTAAAAATACTATTATTTCTAAAAAACAGCACTTCTTATATTAAATAGATCAATCTAAATACACGAAGAAACATCAATTACAAACAAAAACTGGCTTTTTATTTTTTAATATACTACACATAGAAAAAAAGGATTTTTTGAAAAAAAATTACATTTTTTTTACATATTATTATCTTGTCTTAATTTAAGCTATACTATAAAAACAAAACAAAATGCTTATAATATATAGATTTTGTAACACATTTAAATAAAAAAAATTTTTTACCTTAGTCATGCCATTGAAGAATGGAGGATTTTTTATGTATGTCGATGATGAATCCCAAGGGTATAGTTGACCGTCGGGAGCTTGCAAACACTGCCAAGCATTGGAGCCGGTTTGGATGCGTGCGTAAACATCTTGGAACATTGCTGGTATTACAGTTTTTTTTTCAATGGTTTGGATGTGCTCTCTGGAAGGCCAAATGCTTCTCAAAAATATAGGACTACCATTTTTATCCACACCTAGTGAACAGAAAAATATAATAATAACAATAATTATATATTCTGAAATTTTTAAATATGTAAAAATTACCAATTGGTTCAGTTTCAAAATCGATATCGATGCGTCCAGCAATAGCATATGCAATAACAAGCAAAGGCGAAGCCAAGTAATTTGCACGGGTGTTCGGATGAATACGACCCTCGAAATTTCTGTTACCCGATAGTACTCCACAACAAACAAGATCATTCTGTGAAAATAAAAACAAAATAGTTTTTATGTAAAACATTTGAACGTTAAACACATTGTCAAACATTTACCGATTCAATAGCGCTGACTACGGACTCTGGTAAAGGTCCAGAATTTCCGATACAAGTCATACAACCGAATCCGACAGTGTCAAATCCTAATTGTTTTAAAGCAGGCATAACACCGCTCTCCCTTAAATAATAAGTCACTACTCCTGATCCAGGAGAAAGACTGGTTTTGATGTATGGGGCCACCGTCAAACCAGCTTCTATGGCATTTTTAGCAAGAAGACCTGTGCAAGAAAAAAAAAAAATAAATGTATCAACGTTAAATATGTAAAATTGATTTTTTATTATTTATTATTAAATATATTTACCAGCTCCAAGCATAACACTAGGGTTACTGGTATTTGTACACGAAGTGATGGCAGCTATAACCACAGATCCATGCTTTAACGTGTACTTCTGATTATTAAACTCGAATTCCCCAGTAGCATTAAGTTTGTCCGGACTGATGTTGAATCCCTTAAAACCAACCTGTAACATATAAACAAGAAATTATAAGTATTTTATTATTCAGTATTAAATTCAATACCGATCGACTTAATTTATTGTTATATAAGATAAAATACGGTCAACAATTAAAATATATAATACAATATTGTTGTTTTGACCATTTTTTACAAATACAGGTTGATTATTTTAACGCCATACACTAGCTTTTTCATAAAATTGTAGCAATTTTGTAGTTATTCTTTTTCATTCCTGTATTTTGAAATCTGGTTCCATTTATTTAAAAAAAATATTATAAATAACAGTCAAATAAAAATGTACTTAAATAAAATATTATTTAAAACAATAAAAAAATTAATGAAAATGGATTTTTAATAACTTATTATTTAATATTTGTTTTAAAATTTTAAAAAATGTTCAGGTTTGGTTTAGTTTTAGTACCCTTAGGAAAACTTAATTCAATTTGTAGTCCTTTAAGTCAATAATTATAGTCCTTTTGGTAAATTTGTCTTTATAAAAAATAGTTTTCTCAGAAAAAGCAAAAATAAAAAATCGAATTTATATTGCCTTGATATTATATTATTAAAAATTTACCTCCAAACGCCAAGTTAAGGCCAATGTCAGATATTTTTTTTGTATTATTTTGGCTGTTTTATATATATGGGGTGGTCGTATCGACAAGGTGCTCGAGAAGGTCGCCAATACCTCACAGGCCTAATAGTACCTGTTCGGTTTATTTATTGTCATCCAGATATTATACATAATATTATTTTATATGTACTGTTAATGGGTATCGTGTGGTCGAAAAACCGTTACAAAAGATTTAAAAAAAATACAATATACTAGTTCTACTCTATTCCTCCCACAGACCGACTGAACTATCCGAAGGTCTATCCCGGAGGACAATGGATATGGCCTGTAGTGCTATGGGGCAGGTATTTCGACCCATGCCGCCTTTTTTCCAACGGCCAAAAATTGAAAAAAAAAGGTCAAATAAAACGCAGATTTCTAAAAACGAGAGAAATTTATGATTTTACAGCACAACCGTAAAATATAATAAGTAATAACATATGTACATGTCAACGCCTGAAAACGATAAGGATCTTATTTTTTTTTTAAATTTAATTTAGAAATCAATTTTGATACCTAAAAACAGAAAAGCATATTTAAAAATAACCTTTCAATTTATCTATTATAGCCATGCAACAGTAAACGCACAGAAAAAATAATACATTTTAAAATATAATAAACATGTTTTTAATTGTTTGTGTCTTAACAATTATTTGTACATTTTTAGACTATTTGGACATTTACTACAAATTTGTACTCAAAATTTAAAACACAGTTTTTATTTTACACATTTTTAGTATAATTGTTATTTGGGTAAAAAAATAGGCTTTACGTGTGATATAAAAATCACCAAATAAAAAACGTTATCGCAGTTATTAATTTATTAACGCATAAAAATGCAATATTTGAAGTAGAATAATACATGAGTATTAAACAAGTAATATCTTACAAAGTTTAATTAAATGTTTTTAAATTTGTAATCCTGCTAGTTTTAGACTAGGAACTATTAATTATATTTCAGATATTAATTTAATATGATAATTAAATATATTATGTAAGCTTGCTCAATATAATTTTTTTGTACGGACAACGCTGTAATAGACTTCAGCATATTTCAGCATATTTATATTCAACACAGGGAAAACCTTAGTGTCTCAGGTTAGATATAGAATCGAATTACCGGACATGTATGGAATACCTCTATTTTTACATTATAATCGGGCAAAATATTTTATATATTAATTATATTATAGGATTATTTATAATAAACGCCGTGTGACGGCCAACAATCCCGAACACACACATAAGTAGGATTAATATCGACGACTCAAATAATTTTACAACGATAAGGAGTTGATTGAAATAAAACACTATCGTTGTGGGACCGCAACGGTATACCTAATAATAATATGATACTGATATTATACTTGAAAATCTATATATTATTTAGTCGGTCGACGGTCAACTCGAAAGTTCAGATAATAATATTAATATTATTATTGTTGTTGTTGAATACACAAAATGTAAAAAGAAGACGCATAATAACATATTATAACGTGACGTGTAACGGTCAAGTTCAAATATTATACAACACAATATTATTACAAATAATAATAGTTCTGTAAAATATCAATTTTTCTTCGATTGCAGATGGCAGTTAAACGACGGAAATAATAATTTAATGTGGTTTATTATTATTGTGATAATAATGTCAAGACTATGTATAATATAGTTGATAAGCAACTTGTAATATTTTTAAATTACTTACAACCCGACGATTTATTAGCAAGTAGGTAGACCAATAATATAACAGCTAAAGATAATAAAACGCGAGTCGCGACACAGATAAAACCTATAGAAATATTAAAAGCTATAGTAGAAGTAGTAGTCAAAAATGTAACAATAATTCCTACATTCCAAACTAACTATATTAATAATAATCATTTACAGTCACAAATGCAATGGTTCCAAATAAAAAACTAATTGATTTAATGATGCACTAATATTATGATACATCATAATAATATGATATTATAAAATAACCTACTTATATTTATTAAATATTATCTAGAGAAAAGAAATGTATTATGTTAATGGTACAAGGACGAAGAGGAAAAAATATATTTTGTACTAATATACAAACATACAGACAAATATAATATTGCCCGCGGTAAGAATGTTTTAAACTATTATATCACCCCCTCCCTTAGTACAAAAGAATAATATACACCAAACTGTCTAAATTCAGAACTAATTCAGACCTAAGATGGTGTCATCTTAGATTAAGTAAATAATTTAATAAATAAAAATTCAAAAACTGGTTATCGATGAGTTATATAAAATGTTTGGTTACAAAAATTAAGTAAGTACATACATTTAATACAGTACACTTAAGTAAATTATTTTTTTGTTAAAAATGTAGAAATTATTTTTTGTTTTTGAAATAGTTATTATTAAAACAATAAAAAAATAACCTAACAGCAGGGAACAAAAAAATTAGTTTATTTGTTTATTTAGACGGGCGGGTAGCCCAATTATAATGAAAATTATTATAGTATACAATTATTAAAATACAGATCATCAGTTTAAGAAAGTAAACGATACAAATACACATTAAATCCATCGATAGTTACACACAGTGAAAGATCGACATTATACTTATTTACTAATGTCATACATCTAATCACAGGAGCATTTATATTATAGTTTGTTGACTGAAATGGCAGATAAAAAGTATTTGACTGCCTAGTACTACGACTAGGAACAAACAATTTTAAATTTGAAAGTAAAATTGGACAATAAATGTTTCCATTAAGTAGTTAAAAAATGAAGCAGAGATCTAGCCATTTTCGTCTAGTTTCCAATATTTCAAGGTTTAAATAAGTTAGTAATGGCTTGTAAGAGGAGTGAGGTTGTCGCGTAATATCACATCTAAAAGATACTAATCTCAAAAACCGATTTTGAATCGACTCTATTGCTACGGTCTAATACAAGTCATACGGTCATATATTTATATTTTAAAAATATACAGTAAAAATGCTATTTAAAAATATTTTTGGCAATAAAAATAAGTTGAAAAAAAATGTCACGGTACATTGAAGTATTAATTTTATACTTTGCTGTCAGAATACACACATAAGTCAACTTATATTAGTAATATTTTGTATACGATCGAGCGTCATTAAAATCTGTTTTAAATGATCGACTGTTATTCTGCTATTATAAAATCTAAACACATTAATTATCATGTATACTATAAATATAGGTCAATGTTAATTGTTTCAAGTTCACTTATTATGTACAATGATATCAGTTGGTGACATACTCCAAAAACACGGTTTATTTTACAGTAATTTATAGGATAAATAAATTATTAAACATAAAAAAACTCTCATATTCTCTTACGGTCGTCCTAACTAGTTGAGCTTAAAATTTAAATACGTTTTAACAATTAACTGGCAAACACGGTTATTGGTTAAAAATTGTTCATTTTTCCTCAGACCGTATCAGATTTATTGCGTAATATATAATATAAGTTAATAATAGTTTGTATTTACACACATGGTAAGTTAAATATAACCTAGTCGTAGTCATTACTCACTAATAACTATAATAATAGTCTCATTGTGTCACAACGATTGTAAAAAAAAATTATAGACAACGTTTTATGGAAGTCAACGAGACAGAAATTGGATAAATGGTTAAAAATTACATAAGTTAACTTTTATTTTTTTTATTTTAAGAAAACATTTTTTCAATAGGAAACCTTTTAGCGATTTCCTAAGAGCCGGTCGTCAACGATTTTTGTACAGAACTGCCACAACAGTCGTCCTTGTTTATTTGTGTTGTACATACATAACAATAATATGGCTAGATCGAATGTAATACAGCCCAGAACAACAAACACAGCGCGTACTACAAGAGAGCATTTGACTTAATTACACAATAATTAAATCGATAAATGATTCTATTAAAACGTGATCACAAATAGCCATTAAAATAGCATTTAACAATAATAGATAAGGAATACCGTGTAGTGTAATATAGTAGTGTTTACCATTGAACACAGTTTTCGACTGGTTATTGTTTTGGAACGGCGTGCAGTTGTAATGAAAACAATGCGGAAATTTTCATGCAAAATGTAATATTGTTAATTATTTCTATTACTGTGCGGGTACTTCAAATGCGAAGGAATATAGTACTTCAAAAATCCGGTAAGATTATGATGATTTAATTTGTGCCATTCAGTACAACGCAAAGCGCGCATACTCTTCTAGGATAGTAAATTTTTGAGAAAATAAAACTGATAATATAATTTTGGTTGTTGTTTTTTTTTTAAATTCCAACTCAAATCATAGCATACTATTATTTTTAACCGCCGTTATTGGGCGACCGACAACATGTCGTTTTTCTCGGTCGGCTATACCCCTATTGTTAAAAAAAAAACCCAAAAA